ACCTGCGTTCTTTGAGTGTACTAATCAGCGTTCCCAACAGACGCGAATAGATCGTCTGACGCGAGTGATTTTATGCAAAAGACGCGTTGACCTGGAGCAAATGGTGGAACTCGCGAAACTGGGTTCTCCTCCGAGTCCGGTGGACACGAATACGGCGACGATGACCCCTACGCCGCTGTTCTGCTCTCCAGAGCAAATACAGAGCGGTGACTCTCTCGATAAAAGATCGATCGATATCAGCCATTCTGTAAAAAGATGGCCGCCAACGGGTTTCGGATTTCGCCTCAGTCAATTTCGCTCCTGACTATTGACGCGCGAATTTGACGCGTCTGGTGTGAACCGGATATATTACTATAAAAGTCTTGTAAACGCGCTTTACTTGCATTGCCGGCTATTGCTTTGAATAAACTGGGACAACGGGTTATTTTAATAAACTGATTTCTCTGAGTTATCAGTGTATTGTTGTGCATATAAACGAGCTCACGTGAGGGAAAAACATTAATATTATATAAAAACAATAACTAACACGAAGACTTTTTTCTTGTTTGGGGGGAGCATTTTATTTATTTCAGTGGCATTTTTTCCCAGAGCCTAAGTTAATTCCTGCCACTGGAGTGTGTGTGTGTGTGTGTGTGTGTGTGTGGTGGGGGAAGGGCCGCTTTTGTTCAAGTGAAACCGGTGAAGCGAAGAAACCTGCTACTGGACTGGTCTTCACCAACAAAACCAGATCACTGTCATTCTGGTGAACATATCAATCATCAGCAGCAACTCAAATGTGATTAATGATGTTGATAAAAAAAAAAAAAAAACATCAGAGGACAATAAACCTGGCAAACCTTCAAATTACTACAGTTCAACGATCTGCTGTATTTCAGTAGCCTAGATGTCAAAGTCATTTCACGTTATCTTAATTGCAATGCACTTATCTGTGAAATAAATATAGCCTGCTGGAGGCATGCACATGATTCAGGTGTGATTCTACTGTACGCGTGTCTCCATTCATCTCACTGAGACAATTCTGTTGTCCACAACAATCATCTCTCTTTCTATAATTCACTCTCTTTGGTTGAAAAATCTCCTGTACTATAGATGGATATAGATAGATAGATAATTCCCAGAGCTGGGGCCGCTCTGTCTCAACACACAACACACAACTCCTGGGTCACATGATCAGAAACCTAGACTGTGAGGAGTGAATAATCCAACACGGATGAGTGAGATCGCACTGAGCAAACAAGTGTGTGTGTGGAGAGGCAGGTTTATCAGGTGAGTTTTGCTTATGTTGACAGAAAAATAAATGTGTTGCAATTAAGTCTCAAAGTTAGTTTTAGAAGGATTTAAAGTATTTCTGCAAAATAGTGGATTACTCAAATATTCATCCATGACATTTAATATTTGGGTATTCAATCACTATGTTTGTCTTTCTTCAGAAAAAAATAAAAATTTCATGCCAAGCAGGGAAGTTTCTGAAATTTGGTTCATTTAACACGTAATGAGCTTTGATCATAAAACTAAGCATTAAAATACCATCGGATATAGAGTGAGGACTGATATTTTTATGTATTTTATGTCTGCTATCCTGTTACACACTCTCAGAAAAAAAGGGGTACAAAAGCTGTCCCTTAGGCGGTACCTTTTTAAAACATTCACTTTTGTTCCTTTTAATATGCACACATAAGTGAACCTTTAGAAAAGTTACCGCCCCTGTGAAAGCTTCTGAGAGTAAGGATCTCACTGATTACAAGCATCAGAATTTCTTATGTTTTGTACATATAAATATCAGTGTCAAATTGCTTATTTTTGCTCAGTTTGAGTCTCTGAATTAAATTACTGTTTTTTCTTCCACAATCTCAATATTCTCAGTCTCACAACATAATATATAAGCCATAAAATGTTGATATCATATAAATGTATATGAGACAATGTATCAACGATGATATAAATGTATATGATACAATGCATCAACGATGATATAAATGTATATGATACAATGTATCAACTATGATATAATGTGTATGATACAATGATAATATAATAATTGAATAAATGATAATATGATAATAATTTTTTTATTATCAAGTAAAGTTTTTTAATCGTTTTTGACTATCAAATATTTTTGACTATCAAGTCATATATCAGTGTTAAAACCCCTTCCTATAATTAAATATTATTTTAAGTTTGAGTCATTTCCCAATGTTAGATCCTTAAAAATCCTTTAAAAAAAAACCTGTCTAACTCCCCATATAGAGAAAAAGAGGTACTTTTTTTCCAAGACACATTTAAAACCCCCTTTATATATCCTTTTTTAGGACGAGAAAATACATAGTGTTTGTTTAGGTTATTATTCTCTGGTTATAGGACATTATTATTAGGGTTCACTAACTTTCTCGCGTGACTGCATGCTTTAGTAACCAGTGGTTTAATTCAGTGATCAGTGGTTATCCTGCTTTTACTGGAGTAATGCAGCTTTTCTTTTACACATCTCAGGTCTGAACATGTACTGATTAACTCTCAGTCCGACAATCGCACACTACACACACCATTCAACATCGCTCTCTGCCTAAAGAAAAAAAAAATGGCAGCCAAATATTTCAGATTATACGACAACACGCCCTCAAAAAATCTGAAACAACACACATCTTAATCCACGAACACTTACAACATTCGACCGAGTTTTCTGACGGGTTTCAAGCATCTGACGGACATTTTAACGCGGATTAACGCGGAATGGTTACATTGTATCACGCGCGTTCTGTAAACGCACACGTCACACCGAACACAGAACGAACGCGCCAAACGCTCAATACATTGTTGTTTTAACGTAAAAAAACGATTGTAAAGTAAAACTTACTTGGATGTGTGATGTGATGCGAGGAAAGGAGCCCGTGAGTTAGGTCAGAATGAGGAAGTGAGGGAGGGCGTCAGTCAGTCACAGTGGGTGTGACTCGATCCTATCCACATCCACACACAAACAAAACAGGCCGATCCCTGTTTTCAAGCATATAGTACTCATATAGGCCTACGATCTTCTTCTGAAGGAAATCCAAGAGGCGTGTGCCTTGAATAATGATATTGTTTGGGGTTGTTACCGTTGCTATAAATATAATACATGTACTACTACTATAACTATTACTATATTTGTTTTTATCTGATAGTTACTACTTTTAGTATCCAAATAGTGACAAGTAACACTTCCAGTATAAATTGCTAATATATAACATAATGTAGGCTAATATAATTGGGTACTGTCAAATCAATTAATCGCATCGAACATAAACGTTTTTGTTTATATAACGCGTGTTTGTGTGTATCTTTTCTGTTAGATGCAAATTATTTGACAGCACTAAATATAATATAATAATTGATATAATATAATACAATACAAAAAGTCAGATATTCTGAAGGCTTCTTGCACGAAAGGACATCCATTGCAAATGTATAATGATTTTAGTATTTTGCTGTTATGGATACCACGTACGGTTTTTGAAGGGGTGCCGGATAATGAATGTATATCCTAATATCTGTTCAGTTAATGGATAACTTTATTAAAGATGTTTATAATGGGTGCAAAGGTTTGTGTGTCAGATGTAAAGCAACAGAGAAAAGCCACTTGAATTGACAGGGCAGTTTCTGACCTTCACATTGAGTCTGAACGCTTGTGAACATCACAATTGTAAAGTATAAACAAATAAAAAGCTAAATCATTTGCATGAAAACGACAGAGGCTTCTCTTACTCATGTGTGACGTCAGTCCTTCACTCAGAAACGTGTTTAGAAATGAAAGGGTTTGTCTTCAGGAGCGGACAGTGGAAAAACTGGTATTGACAGGTGAATGAATCATCAACTTACACGTAAGAGAGGGAACACCAATGTCAAGGCTACTCTACCATATAAATCATATTAATCTCAGATTACATCTCTTCCATGTTTCTTACAATGTGAAATAGCCATCTATTTATGTTAATATGTAATGTAAATATGAAACAGACAAAGCTGTGAAGGAAAAGCAAAGACACACCCACAGGACTTTCACATTTCACAGTACAAGAGGTTTTCTTTAGTCAGCCTGTAATGGACTCACGTGAGCAGCAGAGGGCAGATCTGATCACGTGATCTCAACACACTTACACCTCAGTCGTTCATAATCATTATCATTTTTTATTTTATTTTATTTATCCTTTATTTAACCAGGTAAAACCCATTGAGATTAAAAATCTCTTTTGCAAGGTTTTTTTTTTTTTTTTTTTGGTCGAGTGATTGAAGAAGATGAAAATATAACACCTGCCTTTGACTAGCACATAAGTAATTTTTTGCAAAACAAAGATAGAATTTTTTAATATGTTGATTGTAGATTCCTCCATGTATTTTAAAATGATTTAAAAGCTTATTTCAATTCTTAAAACTTCGGAGGGGTGCCTTTAAACACTTTAAATTGCCGACAACATGGATTAACCCCTGAAATGGGTTTTAATCTTGTGTTTTGGTTTTACTGTTAACACTGTTTTGCTGACGACACAAATTTATTTACATCACACAGGAACCCACATATTCTACAAGATATAGTCAGCTCAGCTGAGCTCCTGGTTTAAATGCAACAAACTGTCAATAAATGTCAACACAAATTTAATAATTTGTAAAATAATAAACTCAAACTCAATTGTAATCGAAAGGGTTTATTGACAATATACAGATATGGTTACACTTAAAATAGTTAAAATATATCTATGAGATGATAATAACATACATCATTAATTGCAGCATGCCTATGTAAAATGTTACCAGAGAAATAGAAAGAGAGAGAGAGGGTAAAGAGAGAGAGGACCCAGAGAATAAGAGAGCAACTGCTTCAATCTTCTTCTATCCCTTCCGTTCCGTCACCATGTGACTAAAACCCAATGTGAGACAGTCAAACTGACCAATCAGATAATTACAATTTCGGCCGTCTTACTAAAGGTGTGGCGATTTGTAGACCCCGATGAACACATTTTGGTCGACAGGCCTTGATTATATCAGGGATATATGCTAATATGGGACAGTCTGTCAGTGGTTGTGGGCGGGGCATGAGCAATATGATGTCATACTGCTCATAAAATCAAACGGCCTGATTATTGAGAGTGTTTAGGCTTTTTGAGGAGAAAAAATAAAGGAATAAATGGATTTTTTCTATATATGGTATAATGAGGAATTAGTGAATATTGTCCAGCTAAAGTGGAGCAGATTTTAGCACGAGATGAATGAGGGTTATCCGGGTGTCTTTAGGATGAGAGGTCACCACCGAGATTGACCACAGTAGCGTCCGAGCTGCTTACACTTCTCACAGAGATGCTGAGGATGTCTTTTGGTCGGGTCTGACGCGTCCAGGCCGTCCGGTTTCTCCAGAGGACGCTGCAAACACAGAGGAAAGATTTTAAATTCTTCCGCTCATCCCTAGACAAACATTTCTCTAAAAGAGCCCCTATTCGAGCTAAGGCAATACTAAAATGTGATGTGAAAACAATACCGACTGCTGATTGGTCAGAGAAGATCGTCTCTATTCACTGCGTCATCATTGCACGTGCCAGATGGAGTATTGAGAATATCCCCACCATGTTTAAATAGTTTGGCCAGAGATAGTTTCTAAACTTACTATTATGGCAACTCGTCGGAAGAATACGCCGTGGTCAAACAACGTTGACCCAAAATTGACCCAAAGGGCGGGATTCATATTTAAAAAAGAAAATCATAATTTTTTTTACTTGTTTTTTTATAATATTTTTTTTTTTTTTTTTTGGTGTTTTGAGAAAATTTAAAAAATATTTTTTTATATAATTACTAGTATTAATGCAATAATTATGACAAAATTTTCCCCCATTGAAAATAATAGAAAAAATATTTCAAAAAAAAAACAAAACAAATATATATATATATATATATATATATATATATATATATATATATATATATTTTAAAGCTGCATTTCATTTTGGAGTAAAGCCTAGGCCTCATAAAAGCAATTTTTAAAATTAGATGGATGCCATCTGGTGGACAAACTGAGCTTTTTAAAAATGCAAAACACACGTATAATCTGAATTTGTGGTGTGTTTGTGTGTGTGTGTGTGTCTGTTTTGCACTCTTGATGTTTTATAGATTCACCCCTTCACTGTTGTGTGCTTTTTTTCAAGATCGTTGCTGATTTGTAAATTGTACGCACAAAAAAACTCAGTATTTTCACATTTTTGCCAATTTCCCATTCATTTCCTATGCGGGTCATTTTTGACCCGAACACCCCAAGTGTGACTATTTTTTTACGACCACTTAGACTATTCACAGCCTGTCCCCAATTTTTTTGGGTGTTCATATACCAAGTACCATTAAAGTCACCAAGTTTCGGACCATTCCGATGAAGCTACGATTTTTAAAATTTTTTATTTAAACGCTTCGGGTCATTATTGACCCGAAGAACCCCAGAGGGTTAAAAAAAAGCGGTTGCCAGATTACAAATAGACTGGCCACATGAACAAGAGACCCCCAAACGCTCTAAACTGGGAGACAGGTTTAGGCCTGGGGGAGGGACCCCAACAACAGTCTCTCCCCTTCTTCGAAGACCTCCATGACAATTTAAAAGGTAATTAAACCCTAAACCAATTTTTGTAGTTAATGATCTGTAAGAATGGGGCTTTATTGATGCTGATCATTGATTCGAGTAACTTTTTGGGCATTTGGGTATAAAGTGTTTTAATTCTACAATATATTGTGTAAAATGCTGCCCTCTAATGGCAGAAATGCTGTTTCTCAGTCTAAAGTGAGCGTCTGTTCACCTGTCTGAAAGCAAGGACGTTGATGTGGCAAGTCTGGCACTCCTGACCCATGTCTGCCCACGAGTTCCCACTCATCCATTTCCTGTTGCATTTGGGACACTGGTACTCCCCGAAACACCTTCTCTTACCTTTATACGGCATCGTTAGGACGAGCCTGCAACAAAACGATCTTTAGTTCATCAGTAGACTTGTGACTCGACCAAAAATAAATCAACCACTGAAAATATTTCAGTACCATATACACTATCAAATGTTCAGGATCAGTGAGAAATGAATACTTTCATTCATTAAGGATGCGTTAAACTGATCAAAAGTGACAGAAGACATTTATTATGTTACAACTTGCCAACAGCTGTGGTAAAACAGGTGTTTTTTGTCTTACTTTATCTAAAATTCACCTTTTTTAGGTTTGCAAACCGTTTATTACATATCTAGACAGAAATCAACATTAGCACTAGCACGTTACTCTCTCCAGGATAGGAGAATCAATATAAGCTAAAAGCTCTGCAATCATATGTTGCTTTTTAAATGCCAAGTGTCTTACAATCATAACAGATTTGCATTTGTATGCACTTGGTATTTGTTCAAAGGTTACATGTAATTTGTCGGATGGTTTGTATTTGTGAAATATTATCTAGGCTCATTATTTGTTTAATTATGGCACAATATTAACTCCATAGCACCTTTTATATGAGAAATTTCAAGGCTTGCCCTGATCCTCACAACTCTACCATTCTAAAACCATATTAATCTCAGATTACATCTTTTTTTTTTTTAAATCATTCTTCAATTTTTCTTACAATATGTAAATGTGAATTATTTATGTTAATATGTATAGATAAAAACAAAGCAAAGACCCACCCACGGGATGTAATAATCACAGTGTCACGTGATTGAGCTCGACGCACGACTGAACATGTCGCGGTTTCGTTTCACTTTCGTTTCGTTTGCTTTTGGGTGTTAAGGTATCGTATGTAACAGAAGGTACAGCTCTTATCCTTCCTTTCTCCTTCAAGTTTCATCGAAAGCCAAAGTTACGCCAGATTTGGATTTGACTGAGGCTGCGGGTGTGGTGAAGTGTTGAGTCCCATCTGAGGACCCCGCCTGATCTAAATCTGTTCTCGCGATTCTTATTGTAATCAATCAAACTTTAATTCCAATATTGACTAGTATATTTTTAGGTTGCCTATAAACTACTACTTATTTATTAGACACTAGTATTTTTATTTTATTTTAACAAGACACATTTCTTATCTTACTAGTCACAGCTGTTTTTTTAGTTCAGTTAAAAATCTTACAAATAAAATAAAAAAATATTATTAACATTTGGAATAAATACTAGTATCTAATAAATAGGTACTACTAGTATCTATTAAATAAGTAGGCTACTAGTATCTATTTAATAGGTATTATAAGTAGTATACTAGTATTAAATAAGTAGGAACTAGTATCTAAAAAAATAAGTACTAGTTCCTAATGAATAACTAAATAATCACAATTAGAATACATTTAACTAAGTCCACTGCCCAAGTGCATAATAGACAAAACAAGATCAAACATAAAACAAAGGCATAGCCTTCATGAAACTCAAGATTAAACGTGGACATATACTTCACAAACGTGTGTAACAAGACTAATGATAAGAGATATCTGTGAACAAGCAAGACAATAAACCAGGACCACATACTAGAACAGGGGATCACATGACAGATATGAAACTAGAGCATGAAACGAAACCGAAACTAGATGTGACAACAAGTCAGAACTGAAGAGTTGATATCATGACAGATCCCAATAGAAGTCAATGGCAAAAAATGGAAATGTGTTCGATTACAGACCAGTCACTATCGAAATAATAAGTGCTACTATTTACTAGGTACTCTAATGAATAAGTACTAGCATCTAATAAATAAGTATTAGTACCTAATAAATCTAATAAATAAGTATTAGTACCATTTTAATAGGCACTATATATATAATGAGTAGCAGTATCTAAAAAAATAAGTACAAGTATCTAAAGAATAGGCACTAGCACTTAAATTCTAAAAAAATAAATTCTAGTAGCATGAAAATAGATACTAGGTTTTATGGATTAAATGTTTTGCCATAATAACAGAGCAAAACATGCCAAACACTCGATATGTTGCGGTTTAAACGTAGAAAAAGATTGTAAAGGCAAAACTTACTTGGATATGTGATGTGAGGATCTCGAGAGTGTGTTCTGAATGATGGAGTGAGTCAGTCTGTATTTATATCCTCTTCTATCCAAGAGGTGTGTGCTTTGAATAATGATGTTGTTTGTGTTGTTACCAGGATGCTGCTAGAAATATTCTAAATGCACTTTTGTTTTGTTTTAGGCTACTACTTAGTTTACTATGGATTTCGTAGTTACAACTTTTAGAATAACTATCCAAATAGTGACAAGTAAATTCTAGTGTAGTTAATTGCAAATATATAATACAATATCATGTAACGTAATATAATTTGTGCTGTCAAATCAATTAATCGGGATTAATCGCATCTAACATAAAAGTTTTTGTTTCTATAATATATGTGTGTTTATATGTGGGTGTGTGTGTTTGAAGTTATATAGGCTATAGTTGTGAAGGAAAAGGAAAGACACACACACACACACACACACACACAAGAGTTTCACATTTCACAAAGTGCAAGAGGTTTTCTTTAGTCAGCCTGTAATGGACTCACATGAGCAGCAGAGGGCAGATCTGATCACGTGATCTCAATACACTTACACCTCATTTATAATCATTATCATTTAAGGTTTCATTTAGATATATGTGCATTCTGACAAAACGATGTTGAATCTAGGAAAGTCCTTTTGGGATAGATTGCATGAGTGGTTGAAGATTAAAAAAAAGCAAAACCTAACTTTGACTATCACATGGTTAAGTTCGGTGTCTTTTTGCAAAACAAAGAGATTTAATTTGTATGACTCATGCTGTATGTTGATTGTAGCCCAGTTTTATTTAAACATATCTTAAAGTTTCTCCATGTTTTGAGGCATTTGAATATTATTTTTAAATTTGATTGCAATCCTTAAAGGGGTGGTTGATTATGATTTCACTTTTCTAACTGTAGTTAGTGTGTAATGTTGCTGTTTGTGCATAAACAACATCTGCAAATTTACGACACACCAAGTTCAATGCAAATGGAGATATTTGCTTTTACAAAATTACTAACTAACCCAAAAGGAAAAACAGTTTCTGACATTTAAGTGCTTGTCTGCGTGAGGTAATCGGAGCTGCTAACACACACACACACACACACACACACACACAGCTCTTGAAGCTCCGCCCTCTGTGCCGAGAGCAGCAGCAGCTCATTTGCATTTATAGGTCATTTTGCATTTTATTTTCATTTCTATTATTTTTAGATATGCCGCTTGGTCTCATTGTTGATGTGTTAATATGATATGATAATGTCTGTTTGTTTTTTGAATATATTTAATAAAGTAAATAATACACTGTGTAACTCTTTTAGTTTATTCTTAGCTAAAAACACTTAGTTCTTTCAAAAATATATGTGCACATTAATGTTTATTTACTTCGTTCAAGTAATAAAGTATTCTCGTGAGTGTATAATATGCCATTGAAAACACATACGGGTAAGGGGTTCTAATGTCGGTCTCCATCTTGAAAGTACATTAGCCAAAGAGGGACATACCTGTTAATTCAAGCTTCACCTTTCGCGTTTACGTTTGAGTTATCACTCATGGACGAGGTGGAACTGGAAGCCATGTTAATCTTGGACTACATTGGCCACTGTAGGAGTTAAAACGAAATCGGAATTGAGAGGAAGAGAAACTAATGTTCCCTGGATGGTCATATACCCTTTCACCACTAGATGGGGGTCAAAATCACACAGTGTAGCTTTAATAATAATAATCATTATCATTTGATAATTCAAACATCCCTCAAAATCAAGTTCTAAAAAGTCTAAATCAATTTAAATTGAAGAATATCCAGAGCATGAAAACCTCTTTGAAACATTTTTCATTATCAAACATCAATATTACACACTCAAGAAAGATAAAAATAGAAAAAAGCAGAATAGGTGCAAGAATATCCTCAGCATCTCTGTGAGAAGAGCAAGAAGCTCGGATACTAGTGTCGTCGAGTTCAGTGACCTCTGACCCCCAGCATCCTAAAGGATACACCCTCATTCACCTCGGCTCTTCAGCTCTCTGAATTTATTTCGGCTCTTCAATAGAACCATTTATTTTAAAGTATTATGGGTGAATGTTAATGACATTTTTATGAATGAAGGCCATTATCACTGATATAAAAATATCTACTGATTCTCCCACACATTTTAAACATTTATTAATAAAAATAAATCATTAAAAAAATATATAACAACTTTAAGGCTTAATTTATTTGTATCGTTATACCAGCGTGTGCTGTAAGTTACAATGACAACAACCTTGTAGGCCTAATATCATTGGGTTATGGAAACATGCTAAAACGAAAGGAAACAGAAAACTTACCTTCGTTCGGACGACAGTGTTTTCACCGTTGACAGGCTTACAACTCTCCAGGCCATTGGTAAACTGAACGTGGGCTTCCGGAGACTTATAATTACGAAATTGATGTATAGGCACTGACAAAATAAGTTAATATATCAGAAAATGTGACGGGAGGAAAGGCGTCAGGGTCGCGGATGCACTGATCTTTGGACTTCATACGGAGTTGTTTTTTCAACATAACGCGTTTCCGTAACTTGGTTACCAGCTTGTGTTTGTGGCCTCACAAAATGGCGGATACTCCCCACAATACATTGCGCGATGGCGTCGCGGTGATTCACGCAATCAATGTTATGAAAATAATATATATCAGCTTTCACATATACATCTACGAAATATCTTCATTTTGTGAGTATTAAGTGTGAGGTTTTGTCCAAAAGGCTTTTGATGAATTGTTGATCTTTAACAAACTTGTTATTGCTCTTATTTTTTACATCACTAGTCACCGAGGAACAAATTGTGTGAGTGCCTGTTTTACAACTCTTGCGTATTGGGGGGGGGGGGGTAAATAGTACGTAAATATAGAACATTACGCATAGGTTTAATTAAACAACGTGACACTCGTTTTGATGTGAAATATACTTTTTGCAATACAGTGGCCTCAATAAATTGCATTTGAGCACTTCATGTGCAAAGAAACAAGCACAAACACACCTGTCAATCAAAAAGTGGTCTGGTCTGAATTGATATTTGAGAGCTGCGGATTAAATGGGTTCGTTCACTTATAATCCGGACTCAAGTTACTTTTAATGAACTGGTTCAATGTTTAGTCCCAGAATCCTCAGTGAAGCAAAACCTAGCTCCAGTTCACCTAAATGACATCAGCTTATTGATGCCGAAGTTGTTCCGATCTACATTTACATGAATGACTGTAAAATGTTCCTGCCATTAATAACCTGTGAAACACGGACATGTGCCTTAAACGAGCCCGCTCCAGAGCAGATCAAACTGTGCACAAATAAACCACTAAAACATCATTTCTTATTGCTCTTGGCTTTATTGTCCAAACTCAATACTGCAGCACACTGGCCATAATTCATACCCCAATGCATGAGAACAAGAGGTAATCAGATGTAACATGTTTTCAGTCCAGATTAAACACCAATATTACCTGAGAATGACTTGTTAACAGTGGATACCACTTTAAAGGAATAATGCACCCAAAAATGATAATTATGACATTATTTACACACCCTAATATCATTTCAAATCTGTATGATAATGACTTTTCACCTGGAACTTTAAAAGGAGGATCTTTTTCTTGTTCAACGTGAAATTGCACAAGATTAAAAGGCCAAAAACGATGTTTTTATGCTGTTTTGTGCCCTTTCTGGTCACTATAAAGAGTCGTTTTATGAGTGAGGATTCTTAAATTCTACTTTTTGTGTTCCAGAGACAAATCAAACAGCTTTGGATCAACATGAGAGAGTAAATAAAGACTATTCCTGGAACCCAAAAGGTTCTAGATTTCACATTATGGAGATTTTGACGCCTTCAGAACATTTAGTAGTCGATGGGTCTGCGGCAGGACAGTAGAAATGATTCAGTGAAGTGATTCAGTGAATCTACTTGAGTTCTCCACAGTCGGTGATGCTGATTCTCTTGGCGGTTCTTCCCGATCGAGATCCCAGATCCTCCACCTTCCTCACCACATCCAGCCCGTCTTTAATGCTGCCGAACACCACGTGCTTCCCGTCCAGCCTGGAAAACACACAACACACACACTCTCAACATTGCATTCACTCAATCACAGACACATTAAACGGAGGAGGATCTTCTCGTACCACTCTGTTTTGACTGTGCAGATAAAGAACTGGGATCCATTTGTGTTTGGTCCAGCGTTGGCCATGGACAGAATACCTGGAAAAAGAAACACACACACACCTAGTGGTTAACTGACACGTGTTTGAGGATACAGATATCTATACAGCTGCTAATTTAAATGCATGTTTGCATATAAACACACACATAACACAATATATATTTATTAAATAAACACACGCTATAACAAACAAATCAACGAGTAAATAAATGGTTATTACTTGTCAGGCAAAATATACAATCATTTAACAAAAAGACAAAAACAATTAAAAGCAATTTAAAAAAGACAATAAAATAAGTACAATAAAAGTGTAATAATTGAAAAAAGGAGTAAAATAAAATATCTTAAAAATATTAATTATTATTATATAAAAAATATAATGTGTATTTAAAATATTAACATATTATAAATAAAAAAATAAGTACTGAATAAAATGTCTTTATCACTGCATCACATGTGATTGTTGCTTCCAAAGCTTTAAAATAGCGTAATAATAAAATAGTAAAAGTAAAAATAAGAAAGTTATGACAATCTGCTATTTTTCTCTGTCAGATTGAGATTTATATTTTATTATAGTATTTTGATAATTTGCTTTATTCAAAAACTCAAAATTTCCTGATGTTGGCATCCTTCTGTATTGACGTTGTTCTTTACTATTGTAAACAATAAATATAGTTTAGTATATTTCCATTTTGGTTTGATTTTAGTAATTTAAGAATTTTGACTTAATTTTTTTCATCTAATATTTTATTTTATTTAACTAAAACAATATTTTTTTAAATTATTTTAGTGTTAGTTAACACTCACAGCTTGATTTGAACAGTTTTTGCAGCGCCACCTAGAGGCGTTTAGCTGTTCCTGCAGAGATCCTGAAGGATCGCAGTGACACAAACTTCAAACTCCTGCATTCACCATGACGAGCTCAAGACTCATGTATTGAGCAAAGACAGGTGTGTTTTACCTGGTCCAGTGTGTTTCAGTTTGAAGTTCTCGTCCGGAAATCTCGGGCCATAGATGGACTTTCCTCCGGTTCCGTTGTGGTTGGTAAAGTCTCCTCCCTGAGAGAAACACACTAGTGTAAAAATGCATGTAAACAAACACATGTATTACACATGAAAAACGCATTTGAGTATGAAAATGAATAATACATATGAGAAATACACACACACATACATTGTATGTATGTATGTATATATATATATATATATATATATATATATATGAAGAGTTCAGATGCAAAAGCCTCTAAATGCCATTTGAAATTTTCTTCTAAAATGGTCATTTTTATCAAGCTTATATATTCAAGTTCAGTAATTTCACTTAAATGACAATTAATAGGTAATCCTCGTTGCAATTTAAGTGAAATAACTGAACTTAAATATACAAGCTTGATAAAAATGATCATTCTAGAAGAAAATTTCAAATGGCACTTAGAGGCTTTTGCATCTGAACTCTTCATATATATATATATATATATATATATATATATATATATATATATATATATACACGTTGTCATCATTCACACACCCTTGTGTTTTTCCAAACCTGTGTTTCTTTCTTCTGCCGAGTTTCTTCTGCTTGTGTTTCTTTCTTCTGCTTGGTTGAGCGGAAGAAAGAAAGCCAGGTTTGGAAAAACACAAGGGTGTGTAAATGATGATTTTTTTTGGGTGAACTGAGGTTTTCCATTTAAGCTTCAAGTGAAAGCCAAACCCAGAAGCGCCGGCAGGTTTGATGTGAATCAGCTCATGAAGGCATGTGTGATCTTGTTCTTCATCTAGAACTGTCATGATGATGATGATGAGGGTGTCGTGTTACCTGACACATGAACTGTGGGATCACTCTGTGGAAGATTGAGCCCTTGTATCCGAAGCCATGTTCACCAGTACAGAGAGCTCGGAAATTCTCTGTGAAACACACAAAAGATCAAACATGGCACATGTGTGAGAGAAATAACGAATATAAGCGGTTTTCGAGGGTCTCACCTGCGGTTTTGGGCACAACATCCGCATTCAGCTAAAGTTCAGAAAGATAGAGAGTTAAAGGTCAATGAAGAACGAGAGTTAAAGGTCAATGAAGGTCAATTACAATCAACACATTGCAAAATAGATCCGCATAGGAACTAGCTACTACATTTGAGAAAAACATTGAAATAATTCATTCAAAAACGATATATATATTTTATTTTTTTATTTTTAATGTAATTTCCAAAAGTTTTCAGAAATGTTATTCATTATAAAGTTAAGCATTTTGGAACTTATTACTATGGAGAAGGCTACGCTATTCTAGATGCCGATACTTCATACACTTTGCGGAGCGTCCAATCTAATATCCAAAACAAATCCTCGAGGGGTTCGCCGATTGGCCAACTGTAGCGTCCAGCGTTCAATTCAGCCAATCAGACGAACTAACTACTAGACGAACGTCAGGCTGCGTCATTATTATTCATGAGCCAAGCCTTCCCCATAGTAGAGTTCTTCGTAACGTCTCGCGCTCGCTCACTTCGAAGGTGACTCGACCGAGAGGTTCGTTATCCGCCGCGATGTCGAAGAACACCACCGGGTTGTTGTTGGCTTGAGCTCCGGTGGCGTACATGCGCGCAGCGGTGAAGGCCAGCGAGCATAATTTAATCCTGTTACTGATGATTAACATGCTGATTCCGGTTACCGACTCCGCCGAGTGACAGACTCACAGGAAGAGCGAAGAGTCACACGGAAGCGTTTAAAAGCGTGGGGTGGCGTGTGCGCGCACGTCACATGGGGGTTCTTGAAACATAATAAATAATAATGAAAAAATACATGTGAATTATTAGTACATATACGTTAATTAGTCAAATCAAACACTATAGAATAAAAGGTTGGTAAAATAAAAATATTGAATTATTATTTATTTATTTGTTATTTATTTTTACCTTTTTGGGGTCTATCGTTAGCAAAGATTATATCGTCATCAAAATACAATGACATAAAGGTCAAAGGTGACTATAACATCATACCCGAACGATTAAAAGTGTCTTTTAAAGATCTACTTTAAGTGATGACTGATATGTTCAGTCTCCTTTTCCATAAAGATTTCACGTTTTTCCCCGAAAGCAGTTCATGAACTCATAGAATCAATAATTCAGCTTATTAACACAATAAACATCAAGTCAAAATATTACAGATGAGTTTATTGAGCTTTGGACTGTTGGAGGACAGACTGTGAGGTTGAAGAAAGCATCTAATTCTTCATCTCACGCAAAGAAATTACGACGAAAGGCTTTCATCACAAGTAGCCGTAAACATTACTATTCATGGGGAATAACCTGATTTTTAATGTTCAAATGTAATGATTTCACAGATAAAAACGGTTTAGAATCAAGATATAAAAATCATCCGTCTCTTTTATAAAAAATGGAAGACTTGTCGCATACTCAAATTCATAAAAAAAAAAAAAAAATCATTGCATGTGTATATTTTTTGCCATGTGAACAAGACAAATAATAAAAAAATAATTTACCAAAACAAAAAAAATCCAACATTTCAAACCAATTTCAAATGGCTATTATAGCTTTTACATACAGCTGCCCTTTCCACAAACGAGTATAGATTTATTTCACATAAGGCTGTTATATTTGCTTGTACATATTAACAATATTTCTCATATTAACATGAAACTCTGTATTACAATAAACCGAGCATCCGACAGCTTTTGGGTTCTCACACACACCATTGGGTTTCTTGAATGAAAGTGTATTTGAACCAAACATCATTTTGCTAGTTAAGATAATCTGGGTGATTACAGGGTGGTTTCTTTCAGGTCCAATACGGTATTTCAGTCATTTCATATGCATACAATATGTAAATACACCACTGCTTAAAAGTTTGAGGTCAGTAAAAATAATTTTGAAAGAAATTAATATTTTTATTCTGCAAGGATGCATCAAAATTGGCTCAACCAATCTAGAAATATTAAATAATATTGTTTAATATTCCCCAAAAATATGAAGCAACACAGATGTTTCTTGAGCATCAAATCCTCATATATTAAGAGTGATTTCTAAAGTATATATCATGTGACACTGATGAGCTTTGATCAATTATATTCAAAACAGCTATTTTGAATTGTATTAATATTTCAAAATTTTACTGTATTTTAGATCAAATAAACGCAGCTTCTTAAACATTAAAAATTCTCACCGATCTTCAACTTTTGAACAGTAGTGTACAGTTTATATCAACGCCGATCTATATATTAGTATGCATTATAGCACAGTATTGCATTCTGAACACAGCCCGACTTTCTATGAATATTCATAGACATACAGTGGCAGAAGAAAAATGAAGGATGACCAACTAATACAAAAGACCTTACAAATGTATTCACAAATATTTACATGAAAATGCATTATGAACAGTAGTGAACTAGACGGATAAATGCATGGAACGACTAGAGTGTGTTTCTATTCTTTATCGACATGAGCTCGATTTCCTTTTTTCCCTTTACGTTTCAATATACAGGTGAAACTCGAAAAATGAGAATATGGTGCAAAAGTTCACTAAAAGGTGAAACTAATATATTATATAGACTCATTACATGCAAAGTGAGATATTTCAAGCCTTTATTTGTTATAATTTTAATGATTATGGCTTACAAAAAGCTTACAAAACCTTTTTGAATTTTGGGTTTTCATATCTGTAAGCCATAATCATCAAAATTACAACAAATAAAGGCTTGAAATATCTCATATAATATATTAGTTTCGCCTTTTAAGTTGAATTACTGAAATAAATGAACTTTTGCGCGATATTCTCATTTTTCGAGTTTCACCTGTAGTCGTTTTAAATAAGCGCTGTGCTTTTGCGTGAATATTTGAGAATGAGAGCTCAAATTAAAACAGAAACACAGTTGCTTATGAGGAACAGAGGATGCAGAAGGACAGCGGACGGATGTTTGGGCGGGTTCTTCATATCAAAATCAAAGCAGTAGAAAAACACTTGTATTTCACGGTCATGTGGTAAAAAAGACAAAGTTCATTTCAGCTCCACTTTCCCCCGGACGCTCAGAGGTTGCGCTAACTTTTCGTTAAACGCCTAAAACGCTGACCGATAATGGAAATGATTTGTAATTTTGATTTATAATAAGGTTCTGTTAGTTAACATTGGTTAATCAGCCATACTTTTCCTACAATGTTTATTAAACGTTACTGTAGTTGAATGATTTTAGCAACCCTCTGATGCTGGTCAAAAATGACAGATTTTAAAATGTATTTATTTAAATGAAATGAATGCACTGTGTTTTAGTTTTATAATGTTTTTATTTAATATGTTGTATTTTCAAAAAGGATTTAATGGTACAAAATGATATTTATGCAGTAGTTATTATAATCAATGTAATCACTTTTTTGAGCAAAAATTAAACTTAAACTTTCGTAAATCTTGAATGTTTAGTAGCGGAAACTGAAACTTGGTCTCTTTTTAGAGAAGTCACTTAACAGATTATAAGTGACAAGCTTTAAAATGTGAAGTGTAAGGCCCTTGCACACTGAGTTTCGAAATTTTCGTATATGCATTTTTTTTGTATTTGTGATTCGGTGGCTCTGAATTGTCAAACGTACGGAATTGTACGAAAATCGAACCCGATATGATTTTTTTTATGACGGAGGCAGTGCGCGAGCTTGATTGACGTACCAGGAGGTCGTATTTATTTTTTAACGAGCGAAAATTTCGGACTTGTTACGAAAAATGCACAAAAATAATATTTATTATTTTAAATGAAATGTAAAGGCACATTTTACTCTAAAACTGTGATAAAAAAAAGGTTTCGATCCTAATTTGAGGTTGATATTTAAAAAAAAAAAAAGAGCTTTCAGTGATTTTGTTGGGCGCAGTACCAAATGCTTCCACTAGAGCATTTCCCATTCATTTCCAATGCGCTCGTTTTCGACCACGAACAATACAAGTGTGACTATTTTTTTTTTGCGTCACACACCTTTCGTACTTTTCTGATAACGAAAAGTAAATAATTTTATAAAAAAATGACCGAAGAGCATCAGAGGGTTAATAATGTATTAGCGAATATTAAATTAAACTTAACTAAGATAACTAAATTCTCGTAAATATAGTAATAATATAGTAAACTAATGTTAAGAACTGAAACCTTAAAGAGATTCTTTAGTGATGAGTGATTATTTGTAGCACAACCTCTATGTCGGTGTCTTCACGCTGGTTTTAAAATCTGTACAGGAAGAGGAAACGACGGTAAGTGCATTTGTGTTGGTCAAGTATGGAGGAGCTGCTAGTGGAGGGCTCGTGGGTCTCAGTTGTTCTCGAAGAGAGACAGCAGGTCGTCGTTGCTGCTGCTGGGAAGCTCAGGAGGATCCAGGTACGACAGGAGATCATCGGGATTCATCAGGTCTGGCAGCAGCTGGAGGAAACACAATCACATCAATATCACCGAAAAACAGGTGATTAAAAGTGTCACGAGTAGATATAGCCATAATAATCATAAAATCATACGAGTTTATTATCAGTGTTATTGTTCGGAGGAGTGGGAGGAGAGAAAGGCTAAAGATGTTACATTACTGAATACCTTAAAACACTCGTAAGGTCTTCCTTTTCTTTCTTCACTTTATGTTTGTTTGTCTTTTTTTTGTCTATTCTTATATTGTTGTTTCTGTGTTTTGTTTTCATTTTGTTTGGTAGATGTAAAATTTCTGTATGTATTCCTGTAATAATGATTTTTTAAAAAGTGTCACGAGTCAGTCTGAACTCACGTCTAAAGACGCCTCGCGCACGTCTGTGCTGCTCTGACCCTCCATGTTACCCGGCGAGGGGTTAAAGGTCATCTCTGTGGTCATGTGTCTGCTGGGGGCGGAGCTCTGCTGGGTGGGCGTCGGCCTGCAGGGGAGGGGCGGGGCATTGTGATGTAACCGCTGAGTGCTGGGCGGCCCACGCATACTATGCTGCAGGGGATTGTGGGATTGAACTGTGTTGAGGGGGTGAGGCGTCTGTGAAGAATAGAAATCAGAAAATATACATGAATTAATGTGTCTATAAATTAAGGCTGCACAACATGTCAGAATTTTCAGTGCTTCACTTCGGTTAAAACTCACTCACTCACTCACTCACTCACTCACTCACTTACTCACTCACTCACTCACACTCTCACTCATTCATTCACTCACTTACTCACTCACTCACTCACTCACTTACTCACTCACTCACACTCTCACTCATTCATTCACTCACTTACTTACTCACTCACTCACTCACTCACTCACTTACTCACTCACTCACACTCTCACTCATTCATTCACTCACTTACTCACTCACTCATTCACTCACTCACACTCTCACTCATTCACTCACTCACTCACTCACACTCTCACTCATTCATTCACTCACTTACTTACTCACTCACACACTTACTCACTCACTCACTTACTCACTCACTCACTCACTCACTCACACTCTCACTCATTCATTCACTCACTTACTTACTCACTCACTCACTCACACTCTCACTCATTCACTCACTCACTCACTCACACTCTCACTCATTCATTCATTCACTCACTTACTCACTCACTCACTCACTCACACACTCACTCTCTCACACACTCACTCACTCACTCACTCACTCACTCTCTCACACACTCACTCACTCACACACTCACTCACTCACTCACTCACACTCTCACTCATTCATTCACTCACTCACTCACACTCTCACTCATTCATTCACTCACTTACTCACTCACTCACTCACTCACACACTCACTCACTCTCTCACACACTCACTCACTCACTCACTCACTCTCTCACACACTCACTCACTCACACACTCACTCACTCACTCACTCACTCACACTCTCACTCATTCACTCACTCACTCACTCACTCACACTCTCACTCATTCATTCATTCACTCACTTACTCACTCACTCACTCACTCACTCACTCTCTCACACACTCACTCACTCACTCACTCACACACTCACTCACTCACTCACACACTCACTCACTCACTCACTCACTCACTCACTCACTCTCACTCATTCACTCACTCACTCACTCACTCACACTCTCACTCATTCATTCATTGACTCACTTACTCACTCACTCACTCACTCACTCTCTCACACACTCACTCACTCACTCACTCACTCACACACTCACTCACTCACTCACACACTCACTCACTCACTCACACTCTCACTCATTCACTCACTCACTCACTCACTCACACTCTCACTCATTCATTCATTCACTCACTTACTCACTCACTCACTCACTCACTCACTCACTCTCTCACACACTCACTCACTCACTCACACACTCACTCACTCACTCACACACTCACTCACTCACACACTCACTCTCTCACACACTCACTCACTCACACACTCACTCACTCACTCACTCACTCACACTCTCACTCATTCACTCACTCACTCACTCACTCACACTCTCACTCATTCATTCATTCACTCACTTACTCACTCACTCACTCACTCACTCTCTCACACACTCACTCACTCACTCACTCACACACTCACTCACTCACTCACACACTCACTCACTCACTCACACACTCACTCACTCACTCACACACTCACTCACTCACTCACTCACTCACACACTCACTCACACACTCACTCACACTCTCACTCACACACTCACTCACTCACTCACTCACACACTCACTCACTCACACACTCACTCACACACTTACTCACTCACTCACTCACACACTCACTCACACACACACTCACTCACTCACTCACTCACACACTCACTCACTCACTCACACACTCACTCACTCACTCACTCACTCACTCACACACTCACTCACACACTCACTCACACACACACTCACTCACTCACTCACTCACACACTCACTCACTCACTCACACACTCACTCACTCACTCACTCACTCACTCACTCACACACTCACTCACACACTCACTCACACACTCACTCACACACTTACTCACTCACTCACTCACACACTCACTCACTCACTCACTCACACACTCACTCACTCACTCACACACTTACTCACTCACTCACTCACACACTCACTCACTCACACACTCACTCACACACTTACTCACTCACTCACTCACACACTCACTCACTCACACACTCACACACTCACTCACACACTTACTCACTCACTCACTCACACACTCACACACTCACACACTCACTCACTCACTCACTCACACACTCACTCACTCACTCACTCACACACTTACTCACTCACTCACTCACACACTCACTCACACACTCACTCACACACTTACTCACTCACTCACACACTCACTCACTCACTCACTCACACACTCACTCACACACTCACTCACACTCTCACTCACACACTCACTCACTCACACACTCACTCACTCACTCACACACTTACTCACTCACTCACTCACACACTCTCTCACACACTTACTCACTCACTCACTCACACACTCACTCACACACTTACTCACTCACTCACTCACACACTCACTCACACACTCACACACTCACACACTCACTCACTCACTCACACACTCACTCACTCACACACTCACTCACTCACACACTCACTCACACACTTACTCACACACTCACTCACACACTCACTCACTCACTCACACACTCACTCACACACTCACACACTCACTCACACACTCACTCACACACTCACTCACTCACACACTCACTCACAAACTCACTCACTCACTCACACACTCACTCACTCACACACTCACACACTCACACACTCACTCACACACTTACTCACACACTCACTCACACACTCACTCACTCACTCACACACTCACTCACACACTCACACACTCACTCACACACTCACTCACACACTCACTCACTCACACACTCACTCACAAACTCACTCACTCACTCACACACTCACTCACTCGCTCACTCGCTCACTCACGTCGTTAGGCAGAGCTCTGGCTCACTGAGACTCACCGTGTCATGTTGTGTGTGTGTCAGGCCGCTCCCAGAGGTCGGCAGGTCAGCGGGGGGGCGTGACAGCTGCGACCCCCGCATGAACTCACTAACTGATGATGCTGCAGGGTTGCCATGGGGATAGTCACCAAACTTACTTTGGCCCTGGTAACTGTTGCCTGGTAAAACCAATCACAGAGGTGACCCAGCGCACAGAAAACAAAAAAAACGTAAATCGCGCTTCAATTGTTTAAAGTCATAATGAAATGCTTACATATGTATATATCTATATATATATATAAATGAACTAAATTAATAGCTTTTTTACAACAAAAATGAACCATCACTGAGCTTATTTAAGCTGAACTGTGACGCTATTTTCTTCTGGATACAAACTTTGTTGCATTATTTTCTCTGTAAAGCTGCTTTGAAACGATCTGTATAGTAAAAAGCGCTATATGAATAAAGGAGACTTGTGGGTAATTCAGTGGGACGCACCTGGGCTGGTGAACTGGTTAGTGCTGTTGTTCAGCTGGTTCTGGTTGGGATATGGGCCGAGCTGAGCGATCATGTCCGTCACGTTGGGCAGCACCGTCTGACTGGGACTGGTGGTTTTGAAGCGCTTGGACATCGGCCCGTCCGGATCTTCTTTTATGTGCAGCTCAGATTTGATCTGGATCGGCCTCCAGCTGCACGACGGGTCAATCATGACCTCCTCGAACTCTGAGCTGAAAGAGGACCAGAGATCAGTCCACTAACCGTAAGGTTTATGGTACTTAATTATATTTATGCAGAAGTTATAATCACTTTTTGAGCGTTGACCTGCAAATGAAATTACTTAGACGGTCGTAAATCTTGAATTTTCTGTAGCACAGACTGAAGAGAAGACACTTGGCAGATTAAGTTTTAAAAATGTCTTTCTTTCTTCAGTCGAAAAGAAATGAAGGTTTTTGATGAAAACATTCCAGGATTTTCTCCATATAATGGACTTCAATGGGGTCCAAACGGTTCAAGGTCCAAATGAGAGTTTCAGTGCAGCTTCAAAGGGCTTTCACCTGTTAACTGTCACCCCCCCTTTTTTGAATTCGAACTTAAATGGTTGTAATTCAAGAATGCTTTGGAATATAGACATATGATTGGTCTTGTTTTAAAGAAGACATTTGGCAGATTTTTGTAGAAGTGAAATAAATTAAGAAAGTGAAACAGAAAAAAAGTTATAGAAGTTTGAGTTTATGGAAATGTACAATGTAAAAATATTAATTATTCATATTTTACATAAAATATATATTTTCAAAACCTGGGCTACTCTAAAACGGCAGAAAGATCAAAGCCAAAAATCTGAACAAGTTGTGTTTCAAATTTTAGATTGATATCTCAAAAAATGAGCTTTCAGTGAGATTTTGTTTGAGCGCAGTACCAAACTTTTTCACTAGGGCACAATCAGACTCCATTACTGCCCATATAAGGGCGCCTGCATTTCCATTCGTGTTTTGAGTGATATGAACCATTATTTTCACAATTTTCATACAATTTCTGAAGTAGAGATCCTATTCAGAAGTAGCATGGGAAGTTTGGCAGATTTTGATATGAATTGAACCTCTAAGAAACACATACAAAGAACACGCATGTAAGTCATAGCTAGCTGCCACGTCACAAATGGTGAATTTATTATTTTTTTCTTGACATTTCAAACTTTTCAGACCTTTTTTTTCCAAAATAATTGAATGGATTCTATCTTTTGAACTTTTGGCTGAGGTATCTACCATTTTTTCATGATTTTTCATATTTACTGCTATTTTAAAATAAAGGTCTGAACACGCCTTATGAGTATGAAAATATTCTTGTTTTATATTGATAAATTATGGCTCCTCTGTAATATATTTTGAAAATCAGTCACCAAATATGGAAACTAGAGATTGTAAGCTTTCAAATGATATATAGTTTGTCAATATTATTTAAGGTATTTACTAAGATATTATTGTTTTAAAAATATAGTGGCAAACGTCCCACCTGTGGGACGGTGACAGTTAAGTAAACGACACCAGACGATGAATAAGGGTCTTATCTAGCGAAACGAGCAGCCATTTAAAAAATAAATACAAATCTTTTTCGAGCCATTTCATTCGTTGAATCAACCAAATGACTAAAAAAAAGATTCAAACAGGAGAGTCACGAACGCGCATCGCAGAACAGAGCAAGGTGAGCGTTTGTGCTTATAAAACTTAAACTTTTGTATTTATTTTTTAAATGACCGCTCATTTCGCTTGATAAGACCCTTATTCATCGTCTGGAATCGTTTAAAGCCCTTTGAAGCTGCACTGAAACTCTCATTTGGACCTTGAACCGTTTGGACCCCATTGAAGTCCATTATATGGAGAAAAATCCTGGAATGTTTTCATCAAAAACCTTCATTTCTTTTCGACTGAAGAAAGAAAGACATGGACGTCTTGGATGACATGGGGGTGAGTAAATCATCAGCAAAAGAGTTTTTAAAAGTGAACTACTCTAACTACTTTAAAATTCTCCGTCATTTTTGGTAATGCAGATCTACTGCATTAGACCCCTAAAGGGTCTACTTTTATTTTTGTAAACTCACAATAACAACAAAACGTTGTGCTTTTGTAAAATAATGGCACTTTCTGTCGATTCGGTCTTGAACTTCACAGAAATGAGAAATGTATCTAGAGAAAGCTTTACAGAACAGATTACAATGGAAAATAAATATTATTTGCGTCTAAAAATGTTTAGATAATCTCCTCTTGTTTTGTTTTTTTTAAACATTCTTAATCATTACGTTCGCCGGTGTGCCGTGGCAAAGCTTTATGTCTGAATTTGCCCACTGATAAGGCTATACGTATTTTATATAGGCAATTAAAGGCGCATTATGGTTTTTTAATATAAACGCATTAGTCGACTAGTGAAATGTTTAGTGGAGGGCAGCCCTACAGAGTCCAGTGACATCTAAAACCAGACGCTTTGGTTTGTTTCAAGGCTTATAAACTCAAACTTACAAAGCCTGTTGTAACTGTTTTCATCCGAAACAAGGACAGACTTACTTCTGGAGAGCGTTTAGGATCCCCCACATGTACTGATCCACCTCCAGACCTTCTAGCAGAGCGGATTTACTGAAGAGGAGAAACAGAAGATCAGTTCTGCACAAATGAAGCATCTCAGACGTGATCTCAGGACCGACGGGTTCTTACTTGCACACCGGACATCTCCATGTGCCGCGCTCACAGTTCAGCTCTAAGTACGACTCCAGGTCAAAGCACTGCAACATTAACACAACAACTGATGTCAAATATGACGATCCCTTCCTGAGAGACACGTGGATCATGCTCTACCAATGAGATTTAAAAAATATATACACTACTGGTCAAAAGTTTTAGATCAGTGAGATTTTTTATGTTTTTAAATGAAGTCTCTTCTGCTCACCAAGGCTGATTTATTATTTGATGAAAAAACAGTAATATTGTGAAATATTATGACAATTTAAAATGACTGTTTTCTATTTTAATATATTTTAAAATGTAATTTGAAAGCTGAATTTTCAACATCATTACTCCAGTTTTCAGTGTCACATGATCCTTCAGAAATCACTCTAATATGCTGATTTTATGCTCAAAAAACATCAATTATTATTTTCAATGTTGAAAACAGTCGTGTACCATTTTTTCCCCAAAATTCTACGATGAATAGAAAGTTCAAAAGAACAGCATTTATTTCAAATATAATCTTTTCTAACATTATAAATGTCTTTACTGTAACTTTTGATCAATTTAACTCATCCTTGATGAATAAAAGTATTTTCTCATTTCTTCCCCCCAAAAATAAAAAATAAATTCTTTTGAATGGTAGCGATTAATGTTACAAAAGCTTTCCATTTCAGATCAATTGTGTTCTTTTGAACTTTCTATTCATCAAAGAATCCTGAAATAAAATGTAAAAAAACTGTTTTCAACATGGATAATAATCATAAATGTTTCTTGAGCATCATATTATAATCATTTCTGTAGGATCATGTGACACTGAAGACTGGAGTAATGATGCACAGGAATAAATTACACTTCACTATATATTCACATAGAAAACCGCTGTTTTAAATTGTAATAATATTTCACAATATTACTGTTTTTTTGTATTTTTTATCAAATAATTACAGCCTTGGTGAGCAGAAGAGACTTTTTAAAATCATAAAAAATCTTACCGATCTAAAACTTTGGATTGGTAGTGTATATTAATGGTTTTACTAAGCAAGTTAATCAAAAGTGACAGTAAAGACATTTATAATGTCACAATATATTTAATGCTTATTTAATATTTAATGCTTTCTATTTATCAAAGAATCCTGAAAAACAAAAGGTGTCACAGTTTCCACAAAAATATGAACTGTTTTCCACACTGATAATGATCATAAATGTTTCTTGATCATCATATTAGAGTGATTTGTGAAGGATCAGGAGTAATGATGCTGATAATACACATGAATAAGTTACACTTTCCTCTATATTCACATAGAAAACGATTTTAACAAATTGTAAAAATATTACTATTTTTTACTGTATTTTTATCAAATAAATGCAGCCTTGGTGAGTAGAAGAGACGTCTTTCAAACACATTTTTTGTAAAATGAAACAATTTACTTTATACATTTTTATTATTTAATCATTGCATTAATTACTGTATTTGAGTCTTCTTTTAGACTAATGTTGGATGCATCGACCTGAGGAGAATTAAAATTTATCTGTAGTGATTTTCACAATAAATATAGTTCCAGTTGACTTTCACAGCCGGTGTTTAAGCTGTTTATAAGTGTTCCTGACCTGCACATGTTTGCAGTCATGGCCTCTCGCCGGCAGCTGAATACGCCGGAAGGTGATTGGACACTTTAAAGACACTTTAATGGCCGTTTGTTCCACCCCATCGTCAGCGTTCAGTCCGGCACCGGCCACAGACACGGCCACGCTGCTGAAGTTCCTCTTCACTGAAGACACACGCAATCACAACACTGAGAAATGAACCCGACCAATAGAAATACAGACAGACTGAAGCGCTAGTGTCACCTTTAGTGATGCAGTGTTCAGCCGTGAGGAGCCTCTTCCTCAGTAAGCCCTGCAGAACCGATCGAACCGACGGCCGGTGAACCAGCTGAAGGACAAACAGGTGCGACTGCAGAGAGAACACACGATAAACACTCACACAACGCTCAGCTGACATGTGTGTGTGTGTGTGTTAGGGATGCTCGATATACACTACCGGTCAAAAGTTTTAGATCAGTAAGATTTTTTAAGTTTTTAAAAGAAGTCTCTTCTGCTCACCAAGGCTGGAATTATTTGATAAAAAGTACAAAAAAAAATAGTAATATTGTCAAATATTATGACAATTTAAAATGACCGTTTTAAATTTTAATATATTTTAAAATGTAATTTGAAAGCTGAATTTTCAACATCATTAGTGTTGCTGATTACACATCAGTTTTCAGCGTCACATGATCCTTCAGAAATCATTCTAATATGCTGATTTTATGCTCAAAAAACATCAATTATTATTTTCAATGTTTAAAACAGTCGTGTACCATTTCCCCCCAAAATTCTATGATGAATAGAAAGTTCAAAAGAACAGCATTTATTTCAAATATAATCTTTTCTAACATTATAAATGTCTTTACTGTAACTTTTGATCAATTTAACTCATCCTTGATGAATAAAAGTATTTTCTACTTTCTTTCCCCCAAAAATAAAAAATAAATTCTTTTGAATGGTAGCGATTAATGTTACAAAAGCTTTCCATTTCAGATCAATTCTGTTCTTTTGAACTTTCTATTCATCAAAGAATCCTGAAATAAAAATGTAAAAACATGTTTTCAACATGGATAATAATCATAAATGTTTCTTGAGCATCATATTATAATCATTTCTGTAGGATCATGTGACACTGAAGACTGGAGTAATGATGCTGTAAATTCAGCTTTGATCACAGGAATAAATTACACTTCACTATATATTCACATTGAAAACCGCTGTTTTAAATTGTAATAATATTTCACAATATTACTGTTTTTTTGTGTATTTTTAATCAAATAAAGCAGCCTTGGTGAGCAGAAGAGACTTCTTTTAAAATCATAAAAAAATCTTACCGATCCAAAACTTTTGACCGGTAGTGTACTGTATATCGGCCAGCATATTGGTATCGGCTGATTTGTAATGTTAAATTTGTCCGATATATTAAAGATTATAAATAATGTATTATTTCCTTCAGCTGAGACACTTCAGATGCGCACTGTTCAAATATATGACACTTCAAAAAGGAAAATACAGTGCATAATAACTCTGTCATATCGGCTACATAAAATTATAATGAGAACATCATGGATTTTAATGATGAGACTTTTGTAATCAGGCTCTCAAATATTATAGAAAAACTTGGATTAAGATTTATCGGCGAATATATCGGTTATCGACTTTTATCGGTATCGGACAAAATGTTCATATCGGTGTAAACTCACACAACAGCAGGCCGACACCGTGATCTGGATGGTGTTGCGGCCCGGCTGACACACGTGCTTCAGGTGCAGGGCTTTGTGGGAAGTCTTGTTGTCGCCCCGTTCGATGGTGAGAGGAGTGGCGTTGACGCTGACCTGCACCGACGCCGGCCAGTTAGTGTGCATCTGTCTGTCTTCATGATGATAACACTTGAACTGAAGCTCCAGATCAGACCTGACACACACACACACACACACACACATGTGGCTGTTTATATATGTGTGTGAGTATCTGTGCGTTTATGTGATAGTAGAGTGCTTATAAATTCCCATAGACCTTTAAATACAATATTTTTTATGCATTTTATACTTATTGACTCTCAATGACCAGGATGTTGATTTCGGCTTAACCACTTTCAAAATGTAATTATAAAATGTTTTAAGTTAAAATTACAGAGTGCTGTAATAATAAAATAAAAATATACTTTAGTAAATAATATAAAATAATGTAATAAATTATTATACAAATAAATTAGAATAAATAAAACAGTGGTGTGTAGTCCAGTAGAATACAGGTTTTGTATTGTATCAATTTAGTAGAATTAACTATAATAAATTATTTTTCATTTCATTATTAAACTAAAATAATTTTAACAAGTATAATAAATTAAAACAGTCGTGTTTAGTCCAGTATTACAGTTACTTTTTTATTTGATCAATTGCAACATTTTTAAGATTGCTGTGAGAAATTAAAGTCGCTTGTCTTAGGAATCGTGATTTGCAACAAAATTGATTTTCCCCAAACATAACTTGTGAAAAATTAACTTTTAGATTGTATTAATTAATAGACATGCAATGGTAGCAGCATATGTGTGTGTGTGTGTCTCACCTCCACATGAGCGTCTGGTGGACGGTGGGCCGCAGGTGGAAGATGTGATTACTGACGGCCAGGTTGTGTTCGAGTCTGAACGAGTCCAGAACCACACCGTCCCGAACCGGGAACATCAGGCGCAGCTCCTCGTTAGGGTTACCTAGGAAACAAGATGCAGATGACAAGCTAATCATTTCATATAGTGACATTACTGAACATGAATGTTGCATATTATTTGTCCAAGCTCTTCTGAAATAACTTAAAATTTCCATTTCGAACATTTACTGAAACTAAACTTTGTAGCAACATTATAGCAAAATTATACTGCAGTTGCTATGGGGGGGAAATAATATAGAAAATGATGACAGACTTTATTGGTTGTAATATGCACTGCAAAAAAAAATTAAATAAATCTTAAATGATAAAACACATTTTTCAAAAATGTTTCTTGTTTTCTAGTACAAATATCAAAACATTCTTAACCCTCAGGTGCTCTTCGGTCATTTCTGACCGAAAGAATTTCTGTTTTGAATTTCTAAAAATCACAGTTTTATTGGAATGTTATGAAACTTGGTGACTTTCATGGCATTATGTACTTGAACACACAAAAAAATTGAGGTCATGATCTGAGCATGCTAAGTGGTCGTAAAAAAAAAAAGTCACACTTGTGGTCTTTGGTCAAAAATGACCCCCATAGGAAATGAATGGGAAATTGACAAAAACACAAAAATTCACAAATTTTTATTTATTTATTTATTTTTTCATTTTTTCATTTTTTAATAAAAAATCGTTTTTGAGATTGTTTCAACTATCTATTCAAATCCACCAAAAAAAAAAAAAAAAAATGTGTTCATAAACATCTGGGGAATTCACATGCTTCTCCATAGAGTGCTGTACATACCATCTAGTGGTTACACCATGATTCTACGCTTTTTTCTCTATACTGTAACCAGATGGTGCTAATTTGCTTCAAATTTTTTTTTTTTCTGAAGGCCTAGACTCTATATTAAACTAAAATACTGCATTAATAATTTTTTGGAAAAAAAATATATATAGAAAAATATATATTTTCCATGGCAAAAATAGACCATAAATATTCGATAAATATTAATAAATTCAATCAAATTGTCTCAAAATACTAAATTACAAAAAAAAAAAAATATTATAGAACAAAAATAAATTGCATTGGTTTGACTGGGATGGAGGAACTTTAATTTTTAGGTGTCCGGTCACTTTTGACCGGGAAGATAGCAAGTGTGACTCCGAAACGAAGAGCACCTGAGGGTTAAAAAGATACATTTACAGGAGAAAAAAATACTTAAGTCTTGTTTTCTGAAAAATTTGTATAAAAATGAAGTCAGTTTCTGCTTAAAACAAAACATCTGTCAATGGGAAAATAAAAATAGTCTTGCTTTCAGACCATTCTGTCAAAGACATCGAACATAAGAAAATCAGTTTTTGCAGTGCACATTACAGGACATAATACAAATAGGACAAGATATATACGTGCAGGAAATATACAAGACAAAGCATCGCAGGAAGAGGCTCGTACCTGGAGGGGGCGGCAGTGCGTTTATGTTGGGTTTGATATCAGGAGGAAACTGGGGCTTCATGTCCTGGTTTGGTGACAGATACGGTGGCATGTTGTTTCCCGGAGTCACGGGGGGCGTGGGGTTTCCCGGTAACGGAGAGTGAGGATAACCGGCCATCGACCGCGGAGGCTACAAACACACCAACATATCATACGTCACTACACGTAAACTACATGTAAACATACGTCACTACACGTCTGCTCAACACACCGCGTTCATGCTGGACTGGTTGTAATGAAAGGTCCCCGTGTTGAAGTTATTACTGGATTCCTGTAGTAGAGATGGAGAGAGAGACACATTGGTAACATGAAAATACAAAATCTGTCTAACAACTAGAGCGGTGCACTTAATACTGCATTAATAATTTTTTGAAAAAAAAAAAATATATATATATATATATATATATAGAAAATATATATATTTTTCCATGGCAAAAATACACAATAAATATTGCATAAATATTAATAAATTCAATCAAATTGTCTCAAAATACTAAATTACAAAGAATAAATATTATAGAACAAAAATAAATTGCATTGGTTTTACTAGGATGGAGGAAATTTAATTTTTAGGTGTCTGGTCACTTTTGACTAGTTTAGTCAAAAGTGGTTACTTTTTATTGTATTAGGTACTTTTTATTGTCTCAACCACAAATTTTAAAAAATAATTTCTGAAGACTGAAAACCTAAGTTGTCTTAGAAGACAGTATGTTAGTTACCTTGTATAAGTGTCCCACGCTGCCGGACTGGTACTGTGCCGGCGTCCTCTGTGCGGGGTAATGGGGCGAGGAGAGGCTTCTGCTGGCCACGGGGTTCGGGAACTGCCCCTGTGGAGAGGACAACTGTCCCTGAGGCGAGGACAACTGCCCCTGAGGATAGGACAACTGCCCCTGAGACGAGGAGAACTGCCCGTTTGGTCCGTACTGCTGCCCGTAGCTCCCCTAGACCAAAACACACATTTTCATTAAAATCATACACAGATTTAACCCTCAGGTGCTCTTCGTTTCAGAGTCACACTTGTTATCGTCCCGGTCAGAAGTGACAGGACACCTAAAAATTTAATTTCCTCCATCCCAGTGAAACCAATGCAATTTATTTTTGTTGTATAATATTTATTCTTTGTAATTTAGTATTTTGAGACAATTTGATTAAATTTATTAATATTTATGCAATATTTATGGTCTATTTTGCCATGGAAAAAAATATATATATTTTTTTTTTCAAAAAATTATTAATGCAGTATTTTTTAATATAGAGTCTAGGCCTTCAGAAAAAAAATATTTTTTGAAGAAAATTAGCACCATCTGGTTACAGTATAGAGAAAAAGCGTAGAATCATGGTGTAACCACTAGATGGCATGTACAGCACTCTATGGAGAAGCATGTGAATTTTGTTTATGAACACTTTTTTTTTTTTTGGATGGATTTGAATATATAGTTGAAACAATCTCAAAAACGATTTTTTATAAAAAAAAATGTTAATAAATAAATAAATAAAAATTTGTGAATTTTTGTGTTTGTCAATTTCCCATTCATTTCCTATGAGGGTAATTTTTGACCAAAGACCACAAGTTTGACTTTTTTTTTACGACCACTTAGCATTCTCAGATCATGACCTCAATTTTTTTTTTGTATTCACATACATAATGCCATAAAAGTCACCAAGTTTCATAACATTCCGATAAAACTGTGATTTTTAGAAATTCAAAACAGAAAATTTTTCGGTCAGAAATGACCGAAGAGCACCTGAGGGTTAAGAACACCGAGTCTGGTTTACAGAGATTTTAGTTGCAAGATTACTACAGGTAAAAACACCACAAAAACGCTGTGAGCACATACATTTGTCACACACTTTTATGTACACATTAATTAGAAATGTATTTATAAGGAACTTTAAAATCAATCCTCAGTGTAAAGACCTGAGGACTGGTGTGATGTGCAGGTTTCCTCACCTCTCCAGGATACGGTCTCTTCACGCCCTGCATGGGCCGCGGCCCGTAGCCCTGATGAGGCATCCGTTGTGTGTGACCCCCGTATGACCCCATCTGTGCCCGAGGCTGACCCATGCTCATGGTGCCGGGGGGCCCCCGGGGGCCGGCCTGATTCACAAACTGAGTGCTGTAAGCCTGGTTTGGTCCCATCTGAAAGGATGAACACATCTAGAAGACAAACAAACAAAACACTTTGTTCAAACCATAGTCTGTAAAAAAAAATGGGCGTAGTGTCTGTGACGTCAGGCGTAGTGTTTCTGAAGAGCATTTTTGGAAGCACAAAGTGGGCGGAGCCGGCCGTCGCCATCTTGGCAACGCGTCACTCCCGGATAAACGAAAATGGGCGGATTAGCTGAGGTGACGTGACGCTAACGGACAGCAGACAAACGGCTAGTAGTGACATCAGCGGCAATCCACCTGTCACTCAAGTGGCCACGCCCTTAATAATGCAGAACTTTAAGGCTAAATATAATTTAAACGGATGAGTTATAACCCTTCGAAAACACTTTGGATTCACTTTTCAGCATTTGTGAGGCACGCTTGGTTTCAAGAGAGAGACTTTTCACTTAGAAATAATTGCGTCAGGATTAAAGAAGCTCCCTCACCGGGCCGTATTGACTCATGTCTTTGTGTTGCGTCTCCTGTAGGGCGGCAACCGTTGCCGTGGCAGTAGCGGTCGCCGTAGCAGCGGCAGCAGCAACGGCAGCAGCGGCCGCGGCGGCAGCTGGTTGGCTGAAGTCTGAAGGGGGGCGTGTCTGTGAAGGCAGACCCATCCCACCCGAGTGGTTAGGACCGCCCCCATAACTGCAGGAGAGAGAGAGAGAGAGAGAGAGAGAGAGAGAGAGGTCAGGACTGCAGTGAACACATTCTAACGGATGGAATCGTGGAATTCAATCATAAAAACTATTTTTTTATGACTTAATTCGTTTTTTTTATGAATTAAATGTATAACGGGTATGTAACGTCATTTATTTATTTTGAAAAATTTTATTAATTTATATCTTCATTTAATTTACAAAAAAATCCAAATACAAAACACTTAATTTTTGATAAAAAAAAAAGTTATAGAATTTTTCTTATTTTTATAAATTGTTGTTTTTATGAATTCAATTACTTGCATGCCTAATGGAATGCTGAAAACATTTGGTGAAATTTTGAAGAAAAAAAATAATTTCATTGGGCCTTTTAGTTCAACCTTTAGTAAACTGTTGATTAAATTGTACAAGTTTCATGATTAAATTGTACAAGTTTCATGATGAAATTTAATTTAACAAGAACAGGGAGTGTATTGAACTGTTTTTATGGATTGATTTGTTCACATACACCAGTCAACAAGTCCAAGGCTGCATTTATTTGATTAAAAAACAAAAACAGTAATATTGTGAAGTATTATAATGTAAATCATCTGTTTTCTATGTGAATATATAGTAAAGTGTAATCTATTCCTGTGATTTTCAGCATCATTACTCCAGTCTTCAGTGTCACATGATCCTTCACAAATCACTCTAATATGATGATCTGATGCTCAAGAAACATGTTTTTTTTATCCCCAGGATTCTTTGATGAATAGAAAGTTCAAAAGAACAGCATTTATCTGAATTAGAAAGCTTTTGTAACCTTAAACAGTACCATTGAAAAGTTTGGGGTCTGTAAGAATTGAGGTAAATAAATAAAATAAATCAATACTTTTATTCATCAAGGATGAGTTAAATTAACCAAAATGACAGTAAAGACATTTATAATGTTACAAAATATTATATTTCAAATAAATGCTGTTCTTTTGAACTTTCTATTCATCAAAGTATCCTGAAAAAAAAATGTACACAACTGATTTCAACATGTTTTTTGAGCATCAAATCATCATATTAGAGTGATTTATGAAGAATGAAGAGTAATAATGCTGAAAAAAATCACAGGAATAAATTAAATTTTTTCCCTTTTTTTAACAATATTTCAGTTTTTTGTTGTTGTATTATGAATGAAATAAATGCAGGTGATATAAATATCCTTAGCTTAGAACAGATGGAAAATTGACAGGCTTTTTAAGTTATATGAGTAATAAGACACTGACCTGCCCCCGAATCCTCCTCCTCCTCCTCCTCCTCCGGGATAGCTGGATCTCCCGTACATCTCCTGCTGCATGAAGGCCTGGTTTGGGTTAACCTTTGAGGAGAACTGCTGCTGTGCAGTGAACTGTCCCGGGTTCATAACCCCGTTTCCTCCAGCCATGGGGTTCATGTGGCTGTTTGGGTTTGCCATGGGGTTCGCCAACACCTAAACACACACACACACAGTTATGACACGACTCAAACAGCAACATGTGCTCTGAACGCTGTTAAATGTGCTAGTGGTGAGGTTTAGCCTGGTCTCAATGCACATGATACGAATGCACAGAGCCGTTTATTGGGTGCTACGAATGTCTATCAAATGCGCCTGTACGTAGCTCATGGCCAATCGGTTCAATGATACCAGAGAGACAGAAATTAGACGAGGAAGACGACGATGGGTGTACTCGGTGGTGTATGTGTCTAAAAAGGTAACACGTCCGCTGCCATGTTTGATCCATAGGTTTAACCCTCTGCGGTTCTTCAGGTCAATAATGACCCGAAGCATTTAAATAGAAAAATGTTAAAAATCGTAGCTTCATCGGAATGGTCTGAAACTTGGTGACTTTAATGGTACTTGGTATATGAACAACACCCAAAAAAATTGGGGACAGGATTTGAAAAGTCTAAATGGTCGTAAAAAAAATAGTCACACTCAGGAACTTCGGGTCAAAAATGACCCGCATTGGAAATGAATGGGAAATTGGCAAAAATTGGCGAGTTTTTTTGTGCGTACAATCTACAAATCAGCAACGATCTTGAAAAAAAGCACACAACAGTGAAGGGGTGAATCTATAAAACATCAAGAGCGCAAAACAGACACACACACACACTTTTATACACAAACACACCAAAACATTCAGATTATACACTGTACATGTGTTTTGCATTTTTAAAAAGCTCAGTTTGTCCACCAGATGGCATCCATCTCATTTCAAAAATTGCTTTTATGAGGCCTAGGCTTGACTAAAATGAAATACAGCTTTAAAAAAAAATTTTAAAAATATTTTTTTAAAATATTTTTTTCTATTATTTTCAATGGGGGAAAATTTGGTCATAATTATTGCATTAATACTAATTATAATTTTTTGTATTTTTTGAAATTTTCTCAAAACACCAAAAAAAAAAAGAAAGAAAAAATATTATAAAAAAAACAAGTAAAAAAAAAAACAAATTATGATTTTCTTTTTTAAATATGAATCTTGAAGAACGACATAGTGACGAAACGCGCTCTGTCGTAGTTTGTCCTACTTTGGCTACTGTACACTGTAAAAATGAATATGCTTTATCTAATCAAACAAATTGTGGCAACAGATTACAAGCAATATTATTAATTAAATATAACAAATTAGAATTGAGTAATAATTAATCAAATTTATTACTTAAAAGTTAACCATTTAAAATGAGTAAAACTTACAACAACAACCAAAAAAACATAAATTGAAGTCACCAACCATTATGGTGATCGGTGTTTGTTTTAGGTTATGTTAGCAATATAAAATAAATAGTTCTTAATTAATCTCAATTAATCTTTGACGTCTGTCTGTCAGTGAGATTTTTTTTTTTTTAATTTTTGGGTGTAAACTTTACTCATTTTAAATGGTTAACTTTTAAGGAATAATTTGATTCATTATTACTCAATTCTAATTTGTTAAATTTAATTAACAATATTGTTTGTAAACTGTTGCCACAATTCTATTGATTAGATATATTCATATTCATTTTTACAGTGTAGAAACAAGGCGGCGGTAATAAAAACATAACGGTTCATTATGTAAGATCACTGAAAACATACTTATGTGTATGATATTGCATTTCTGTCAACGGATATTACAACAAAATACATATCGAAATACATTCTTACGTGACTCTGTGTGGTATTGGTCACTCCCCATACGGTGGTCACCACTGAAACCGAACCCGGCGGCTGATTGGTGTTTTGTTGCCAGGAAACGGAGTCATATTGAAATGGTGCGTCACTATGGAGATAATAAAAGGATGTAAACAACAGTTAACGTGTGGAAAACTGTGCGAATGAGACACTGACCCGTGTGAGAGCGCAGGCTTCATGTTGTTGATGTTGGCCTGCATCGGGTTTTTCCCCACTGATGGATCGGGTTGTCTGCTTTTCTGATGACGCAGCAAAAGAAGTCGACCCAGATCCTCACACCACGAGGACAGCAATGCTACACACACACATTAAATGGGTCATATTATTTGGTGCTTTCCCTGAGGTCCTCAAGTGCATGTCTCAAAGACGCCCAGATTAAATTTGAGTTTAGAAAACATCAAGAGAACGTTGATTCCTCGTGACATTAGCCATTTAAACATTAAACAACATTGAATAAACACTCTCACATTAAATTTCACTATAAATCTGTAGTGCAGGTTCACAGGCAGTTAAAACACACACTTGAAATAAAAATCTGGATGTCTAAAAATAAATAAAAATCGAAGGCGTTTGTCAAGTTAGAGTTGAATCAAATCTTAAAACGGTCGATTCGCAGCGAGTAAACGAATATTTATTTCTCAGAACCGTGACGGAACTACAAAACAAATTCTGTTTTCAAACAAGTTCCAAATGTTCCATTCATCTGCCATTGGTCGACAAAACGAGTAGCCCCGCCCCCAAGTAATGCCATTGGTTGAGCCAATGTTCAATGTTGTTAGATTTACCTGCTCCTAAACACACATTAAACACATTTGTGGCTTGAGAGTTGTTGACTGACTGCTAATACCATCAGAAAACTACAAATCTATATCAGACTATTTACATCAGTTATACATAAATCATTTGGTATAGGCTGACGTTTAATATACTGTACAGTCCCTAAAGCTACTCAAACCAGTGTTTTTTTAATGACCTTTTTTATTTTATTTATGCTCATTTTAGTTAAATTTTTTAGTAAATTAGCGATGTCCTTTCGTCATTTTATTATTATTTAAAAATACTGCTATTTAGGTTTAATTTAATTGTATTTCAGTTTTTATTATTTTATTTTTTATACTAATTTCAGTTTACGTTTTTCAAGTAATTTATTTTATTTTATATTTCAGCTTCATTTCAATTAACAGAAATGTTATTAATAGTTTTAGTTTACAGGCCCCATTGACTTCAGTAGTATGGGGGGGGGCTTTGTAAACACAATTGAAGTGAATGGGGACCAACAACAGTTTGGTTCCCCATATTCTTCAAAATGTCTTCTTTTGTGTTCAATGTTGTTAGATTTAGCTGCTCCTAAACACACACATTAAACACATTTGTGGCTTGACAGTTGTTGACTGACTGCTAATACCATCAGAAAACTACAAAGCTATCAGACTGTTTTACTCTGACGTGTGTGTGTGATCTATCAGAGCTGAAACAGATTTGAGAAGACAAGGACAGATCTACAGTCTGATGAATCACACACACACACACACGAGGGCTGCTGTCAGCTTTACTCAGATGTCTGTCATTTTCTATTTAGGAAAAGCCACAGTTTAACTATCAGTTTCTACCGTGACACCCATACAAAATTACAGACAGTGAAATCTGTGTGTGTGAGAGAGAGAGAGAGAGAGAGACTCTCACACACACACACACACACACACACACACACACACTCTCTCTCTCTCTCTACAGTAAGAAACACATAAGCCTGTAAGTGTGGCATCTCCTCCTCTCTTAAACGCTCTATTAACTCTATAATGCTTCCACTTAGTGCAGAAACAGCGGGAGTGTGTTTTACGTTCCATTAAACGAGTGGCTTGTGTCGATCATGCTTGAACTAGTTAACCAGCAAAGTTAAAGGCCTTTCATCTGATCTCTCATCAACCCAGAACTACACACATACACACAATAATGAAAACGCTCAAGTCTGGAGTTGTTGTGTCGTATTTTAGCAGTTTCGAAGTGTCATTAAAGAGCTGCGGTAATTAAACGAAGGGTTAATGTCGAGCACCTCTGTCTTGCTGGAATCGTTGTCTTCTGTTATATATGTGTTTTTTGGGTTACTTTTAGCACATCATGCATTCAAACTCAATTTAAACTATTTGGATTGCGTTTTGTTAAATATATACATACATACATACATACAGGTGAAACTCGAAAAATGAGAATATGGTGCAAAAGTTCATTTATTTCAGTAATGCAACTTAAAAGGTGAAACTAGACTCATCATTACATGCTAAGTGAGATATTTCAAGCCTTTAATTGATATAATTTTGATGATTATGGCTTACAGATTATAAAAAAACACAAATTCTTGGCTTGAAGTATCTCAATTAGCATGTAATGAGTCTAAATAATATATATTAGTTTCACCTTTTAAGATCAATTACTGAAATAAACGAACTTTTGGATGATATGTTCTAACTTTTTAAGTTTCACCTGTACACATACATATTTATACAAATATATCATATATATACAATTTCTGCTTGAAAGCAACCAAGAAAAATAGTAGTCTACACTTTACTAATCCCACGGCTACTGAACAAATCGAATAAATAACTAAATGGACATGAATACTGATTAGAGTTTCAATTATTTTTCATTTTGGGAAAACAAACATTAGCAAATCTATTAAATATTTAAATCACATTTGATCCCAGAATGCCCCAGAGTTTATCAGAACGCAGAGAGTCATGTATTAAACGATCTTAATACACGAGACTAGACGCTCTCGTTATCAGGAATTATTGTGTTTTACACTAGAAGCGCCCGATGCAGCGATTAGAGACGCAATGTGATGTAAAATCAGTTGTCGGATACATCAGTTATACATAAATCATTTGGTATAGGCTGACGTTTAATATACTGTACATTCCCTAAAGCTACTCAAACCAGTGCTATTTTTAATGACCTTTTTAATTTTATTTATGCTCATTTTAGTTTAATTTTTTAGTAATTTAGCTATGTCCTTTTGTCATTTTATTATTATTTAAAAATACTGCTATTTAGGTTTAATTTAATTGTATTTCAGTTTTTATTATTTTATTTTTTATACTTATTTCAGTTTACGTTTTTCAAGTAATTTATTTTATTTTATATTTCAGCTTCATTTTAATTAACAGAAATGTTATTAATCGTTTTAGTTTACGGGCCCCATTGACTTCAGTAGTATGGGGGGGGGGGGGGGGGGCTTTGTAAACACAATTGAAGTGAATGGGGACCAACAACAGTTTGTTCAAAATGTCTTCTTTTGTGTTCAGCAGAAGAAAGAAACTTACATTTTTGGGTGAACTACAGTAGTTCAAATGTTAAAATATCTTCCCAAAACTAGGAATAAGACTCAAAAATGCAATTCTTGTTTGTGTGTATTTGATGTAGTAACCTAGTTAGTTGTGTCGTGGTTGTGCTCAGCATCCGGTTCAGCAAAAGCAATGAAAAAAAAGAATTTATATGCTCAGTTGGGCTCTGACGTCACGCTCTGTAATTAAAGTCTCATAAGCGGGTGCTGATGAGCCTCACCTGCTGATTTGGGGGTGAATTTGTCCCTGTTTGCTGCACAAACGGCGAGCACTCGATACCCCAGGTCCATGTCGAAGCCCTGCTGACCCGCTACACGACTCAGCACCTGACAGCGACACACACTGAAATATCAGCACTCAGGCATGCATGTTTTGTCATAGTGAAATTGCACTGGGTGGTTGTGGTTTGGTGGGGTTTCTGGGAATGAAATCTCTCCCCTGATTTGCAAACCCTCATCAGGTCGGCTCATGCGCTCCACCACGCCACACCCTGAGGCCCGACTCCCTCTGAAACACAGACGTGCCAGAAGCAATCCCTCATATCTGTGTCTTAATTATAGTTAAACACACCAGGCAGAGATATATGTGTGTCTGAAGCACATAATTAAACATCTGAGGGAGGTTCGGGTTAGCCGTCGTTCCACGTTCTCCTTAACTACAGCTCTTTCTCTGCTGTGGAAACATGTCAGAGTTCACATAGAATATAATAGAGCACAGAACAGATTATAGAACAGAACAGATTAAAGCAACAGAAGAGTAGAATCAAAGAGATTACTATACAACAGAGCCAAATTGTATCTAGAATAGAATAGAACAGAATTAAATAAAATGGAATTAAATAGAATGGAACAGAATTAAATAGAAAGCTAAATAGAAAACAAGAGTAGAATGGGTTATAACAGAAGAGTGCAGAATAGAAGTAAATAGAATAATTTGGAGCAGAATAGAACAGAATTAAATAAAATGAAAGAAAGATAAATAGAAAAGAGAGTAGAACAGATTATAACAGAAGAGTGCAGAATAGAAGTAAATAAAATGAAAGAAAGATAAATAGAAAAGAAGAGTAGAATAGATTATAACAGAAGAGTGCAGAATAGAAGTAAATAGAGTAAATTGGAGCAGAATAGAACAGAATTAAATCAGATGAAACAAAGCTACATAGAAAAGAACAGTAGGATAGATTATAACAGAAGAGAGCAGAATAGAATTAAATAAAATGAATAGAATAAATTGGAGCAGAATCGAACAGAATAAAATAAAAGAAAAGAAAGATAAATAGAAAAGAAAAGTAGAATAGATTATAACAGAAGAGAGCAGAATAGAAGTAAATAGAATAAATTGGAGCAGAATAGAACAGAATTAAATATAGAAGAGATTAAGAGAATTAATTAATTAATTAAGAGAATTAACTGGTGCAGAATAGAACAGAAAAATAGAATAGAATAATCACGACGGAACTGAAGAGTAGAATGGAATAGTTTACGAGAGATTAGAGCAGAATGGAATAAAATGCAGAAGAGTAGAAAAATTAAATTGGATGGAGTAAAGAACAGAACAGAAGAGAGCAGAATAGAATAAATAGAATAAACGAGTGCAGAAAAGAACAGAAAATAGAATAGAATAAGTACGACAAAATAGTAGAGTAGAACAAAATAGTCTACATTAGAGTAGAACAGAATAGAATACAATTAATACAATAAACTGGTGCGGAATAGAACATAAAAATAGAATACAGCAGAACGGAAATTTCATTGGAATATACTCTAATATAGAACGTAAAACAATATAGACTATCATAATAATGTGACGTGAGTGAGGCCAGATGGAAATCATCGTCAGAGCCGATTGTTCTTATTACTAACGAGCAGATGAATGCTGATTGGTCAATAGACTCGACTGAGAGTGAAATGAGCTCACCGTTAGGCATCCCATCAGGCTTTGCTCAAAGGGCCTCTGAAACGCCCGAGGATCTCCACACCAGTCCAACAGCTCCGTCGCCGCCGTCTGGAAGTTCACTGGATTTTGCAGGTGCTGATATTAACACACAATCATAAGAACACAAGCTCATATGACCAAACACTTCATATATATATATATATACATAGAATGATTATATTTAGCTATTACTCTGTTTATGTGAGATATTAATGTGTCAAATATTCATTACTAATCTACAAAAAGTTCTGTGTATTGTTCCTGGGTGTATAAGCCCACAAGATGAGATCAGAAAACCTTTATTTGTCCCACAGTGGGGAAATTACGGTTTGCAACAGCAGAGAAAACAAGTGTACAAGCATAGACAAGTATTCAACAAAGAAGTATAAAAACAGAATTACTGTACAATAGACTAAAATGGACTATGCCTAATACAATGTCCTGCGCCATAATAGATCAATATTATATGAATGAAGATCTGCAGCTGTCCAGGTGTCCTGTAGGGGGCGTCACAGCGCTGAGAATGACTTATATCACACACACTCACACTGTAAAGGCAGAAGCTGTGAATCCTGAATGATGACATTTTAACGACTCACAGCTGTGATGAAGAAACACTGACGTAAGATGAGATACGATTTTTATAGAGCACCTATTCTGCTTTTCTCCATGTCCATCTTTCTCGAGTGTGTAATGTTGATGTTTGATCAAGTCCCTCCATAGACATATACACTAGACCTCACCTGGGGGTTCTAAGCATGCGTCAAAACCGCCGCCATCTTGGAACAGGGGTCTTGTCATAGGAAGTAGCTAGCTAACGCTGCTATCTCTGCCTTTACTTTAAATTCATTGATGGTGGCGGACTTTTGTGCAGCGTATGATGTTCATGGATGAAATCTGAACTAGGAAGAATGTTTAAAAAAAAAAATAACAAAAATTTCTTTCAGGAATCAATGATACAGTAAATACATGTCTGACCGTTGGAACAAACCAAAAAAAACAAGAAAAAAAAAAAAAAAATCACATTCATGATGATTTATGGTGATTTTATTTGCGTTAGACCTGTGTCTACTACATTGACGCTGATGCATTAAAGTCGAGCGGCTCCCCTGTTTCAAGATGGCGGCTCTATTGACGCATTCATTCCAATGAACTGCCGTATCCAAGGTGAGGTCTAGTGTATATGTCTATGGTTCTCCTCTATATCAGTGTCAGTGTTTCTGAACTCCTGAAACGCCTCCATAGACCTTTTTCACAAAAACCGGAAATACGTAATCGTTGTGGAAACGGAGTTCCCGTCAACTATCGACACATCAGAAAAACCTACTCTGGGAGGAGAAAATTGGTCAGAGAGTCTTCAAAACTTCGAAAAAAATGTAAACTTGTCATGGTCCAGTTGTTGATGACTTTGTAAAATGCTGTGGTGATGCTTGTCTGCAGCTGATCTAAGACCAACGATATTGATTTCAGAACTCATTCTTCCCAATATACGTTCATTAAAGGTAAGAAGGTGGAGTGTGTGGAAAGTTATTAATATTTAGGGAGTATTATTTACAATAAACTGCATTTTGATGTGAATACCAGAAAGAAGTCTGTCAGTTTTATTCAACAGTTATCCTGAATATTTTGCACTGCTCTTGCTATAGAACGATCAAAGATGAAGAACAATTTATACAAATATTAATTTATCCCTTGTACACTCAAGATTGTTAAATACTCAGAATGGTATATATTAATATTTTAAATTTATATTTATCTCGTTTTATATTGTGGTGTATATTTTTATGTGCTTATTCCGCTGGATGCAAATATCTTAATAAAGTTGAGCATGAACTAACGTTACTTCAAAATACACAAATCATAAAACATAAAAAATAAAGATAAACAATGACGGCTTAGTGAATGGTGACATGAGAAGTACAGAAGATCACAGGATCAATAACATCCCGCCAGATTGCCTGAATCCATTTCCGTCGGACTTCATCGACAGGGAACTGACGAGGGAAGGAATGAAAACGACAGGTATGGCTGCTTTTGGGAATAACAAAAAAGATCGGTACGCAACAACTCTCACTAGTTGCCTGCGGCGCTATCTGTTATGAATGGAGCGGAAGAAGATTACCATGACAATTGCGTATTTCTGGTCGCAAATACGGAAGTTGTGAGAAAGGTCTATTGTAGTCTCGAGTTTCTTCTGGAACACGTCACAATATTCCTCATTATAATAATTAATGCGCAGAATAAAGGGGCGGGGCCGGGTTGAGTTAGTCAGTAGTGTGTTAAACTGGCGGTTATGGGAAGGGGCGGGACATTTTCCCAAACACACTCGACCAATCACAACACACCGCTCCAGCCGACCAATCAGAGCACAGTGTGCTTTCAGAAGGAGGGGCTTCATAGAGACAGGAAGTAAACAGAACGTTACTGACAGACTGGGACGAGAGGAGCCGCAACAACAACATTCAAGCAGGAAAACCTGTTCTAGAAGAGCCTGAACACATCATCTGTTTCTCCCACCTGTTTGATGCAGAGGAGCCGGTCGTTGGTTTGCTGGATGTGTCTGTCCATGGGCGGGAGAGAATTCATCCTTCAGGACCGTCTCTCTGTCCCTATCGCACAGCCATCAACACTCAGTCCCTGGAAAACACACACGATTTAGACCCGGTCCCAGATAAAATGATCAGACGCAAACAAGTAAACATCCAGTTCTATATCGCTGATGTCATACTTTAGTTTGCATCTTTTCTTCGTTATTTACAGCATGAAGAAGTGCATAAACTCATGGCTTTTTATTCAACATAGAGATGGACGTGTGTGTGTGTGTGTGTGTGTGCAGGAAGCATTTCTGTGTCTGCTGTAAAATAATGAAATCAGGTCAGAGTATGATAATCACATGATACCCCGTTCGTTCACATCATCTGTCTCAGACGGTGAGTGATATTTATAGTGTGAATGAACAGTACGAGCGGGATTTCTCGTGTACTCGCAAATATCAGCTGTGTGTCAGACTGGGCTGTAGCGACTGGAACACTTGCGTAACTAGCAGATGATGTGCTGAGACAGGCCACACACACACACACACACGATGGAAAACATGTCGAGCAGCAGAGGGAGTTTCCTGTAGTTTTGTGTGAGCGTCAGGAACTGGTTTGTGTTGCATCGCTGAGTGAAAGACACGAGACACGTGTGGAAGCTCCAGCGGCTCCTCGGTGACACACAACTGGATTAAGAGGATTACAATCACTGACAGAATGAGGAAGAAAACAAACATGCTGAAACTATAAAGACACAACAAATGGAGTACAAATGGGGGGAAATAAACTTGTGTAGAAGCATTTCTGCAGAACATAAATCAGCATGAAATTAATACAAAACTGTTACAAAGTTAATAAAAAAAATAATTACCATATTCATACCATCATACTGAACAATTACCATATTAATTTACCATCATACTAAACAATTACTATATTAATTTACCATCATATTGAACAATTACCATATTAATGTACCATCATACCGAACAATTACCATATTAATTTACCATCATACCGAACAATTGCCATATTGATGTACCATCATATTGAACAATTACCATATTAATGTACCATCATACTGAACAATTACCATATTCATTTACCATCATACTGAACAATTACCATATTAATTTACCATCATACTGAACAATTGCCATATTCATTTACCATCATACCGAACAATTACCATATTAATTTACCATCATACTAAACAATTACTATATTAATTTACCATCATATTGAACAATTACCATATTAATGTACCATCATACTGAACAATTACCATATTCATTTACCATCATACCGAACAATTACCATATTAATTTACCATCATACCGAACAATTGCCATATTGATGTACCATCATACCGAACAATTGCCATATTAATGTACCATAATACCGAACAATTACCATATTGATGTACCATCATACCGAACAATTGCCATATTAATGTACCATAATACCGAACAATTACCATATTGATGTACCATCATACCGAACAATTGCCATATTAATGTACCATCATACTGAACAATTGCTATATTGATGTACCATCATACCGAACAATTGCCATATTAATGTACCATAATACCGAACAATTACCATATTGATGTACCATCATACCGAACAATTGCCATATTAATGTACCATAATACCGAACAATTACCATATTGATGTACCATCATACCGAACAATTGCCATATTAATGTACCATCATACTGAACAATTGCCATATTGATGTACCATCATACCGAACAATTGCCATATTAATGTACCATAATACCGAACAATTACCATATTGATGTACCATCATACCGAACAATTGCCATATTAATGTACCATAATACCGAACAATTACCATATTGATGTACCATCATACCGAACAATTGCCATATTAATGTACCATCATACTGAACAATTGCCATATTAATGTACCATAATACCGAACAATTACCATATTGATGTACCATCATACCGAACAATTGCCATATTGATGTACCATCATACCGAACAATTACCATATTGATGTACCATCATACCGAACAATTGCCATATTGATGTACCATCATACCGAACAATTACCATATTAATGTACCATCATACCGAACAATTGCTATATTGATGTACCATCATACCGAACAATTACCATATTAATGTACCATCATACCGAACAATTACCATATTGATGTACCATCATACCGAACAATTACCATATTGATGTACCATCATACCGAACAATTACCATATTGATGTACCATCATACTGAACAATTACCATATTGATGTACCATCATACCGAACAATTGCCATATTAATGTACCATCATACCGAACAATTGCTATATTGATGTACCATCATACTGAACAATTGCCATATTAATGTACCATCATACCGAACAATTACCATATTGATGTACCATCATACCGAACAATTGCCATATTAATGTACCATAATACCGAACAATTACCATATTGATGTACCATCATACCGAACAATTACCATATTGATGTACCATCATACCGAACAATTGCCATATTAATGTACCATCATACTGAACAATTGCCATATTGATGTACCATCATACCGAACAATTGCCATATTAATGTACCATCATACTGAACAATTGCTATATTGATGTACCATCATACCGAACAATTGCCATATTAATGTACCATAATACCGAACAATTACCATATTGATGTACCATCATACCGAACAATTGCCATATTAATGTACCATAATACCGAACAATTACCATATTGATGTACCATCATACCGAACAATTGCCATATTAATGTACCATCATACTGAACAATTGCCATATTGATGTACCATCATACCGAACAATTGCCATATTAATGTACCATAATACCGAACAATTACCATATTGATGTACCATCATACCGAACAATTGCCATATTAATGTACCATAATACCGAACAATTACCATATTGATGTACCATCATACCGAACAATTGCCATATTAATGTACCATCATACTGAACAATTGCTATATTGATGTACCATCATACCGAACAATTACCATATTAATGTACCATCATACCGAACAATTGCTATATTGATGTACCATCATACCGAACAATTACCATATTAATGTACCATCATACCGAACAATTACCATATTGATGTACCATCATACCGAACAATTGCTATATTGATGTACCATCATACCGAACAATTACCATATTAATGTACCATCATACCGAACAATTACCATATTGATGTACCATCATACCGAACAATTGCTATATTGATGTACCATCATACCGAACAATTGCTATATTGATGTACCATCATACTGAACAATTACCATATTGATGTACCATCATACCGAACAATTGCCATATTAATGTACCATCATACCGAACAATTGCTATATTGATGTACCATCATACTGAACAATTACCATATTGATGTACCATCATACCGAACAATTGCCATATTAATGTACCATCATACCGAACAATTGCTATATTGATGTACCATCATACTGAACAATTGCCATATTGATGTACCATCATACCGAACAATTACCATATTGATGTACCATCATACCGAACAATTACCATATTGATGTACCATCATACTGAACAATTACCATATTAATGTACCATCATACCGAACAATTACCATATTGATGTACCATCATACCGAACAATTACCATATTGATGTACCATCATACCGAACAATTACCATATTAATTTACCATCATACCGAACAATTGCTATATTGATGTACCATCATACCGAACAATTACCATATTGATGTACCATCATACCGAACAATTGCTATATTGATGTACCATCATACCGAACAATTACCATATTGATGTACCATCATACCGAACAATTGCCATATTAATGTACCATCATACCGAACAATTGCTATATTGATGTACCATCATACTGAACAATTGCCATATTAATGTACCATCATACTGAACAATTGCCATATTCATTTACCATCATACCGAACAATTACCATATTAATTTACCATCATACCGAACAATTGCCATATTAATGTACCATCATACCGAACAATTGCCATATTGATGTACCATCATACCGAACAATTGCCATATTAATGTACCATCATACCGAACAATTACCATATTGATGTACCATCATACCGAACAATTGCCATATTAATGTACCATCATACCGAACAATTGCTATATTGATGTACCATCATACCGAACAATTACCATATTGATGTACCATCATACCGAACAATTACCATATTGATGTACCATCATACCGAACAATTACCATATTGATGTACCATCATACCGAACAATTACCATATTAATGTACCATCATACCGAACAATTACCATATTCATTTACCATCATACCGAACAATTACCATATTAATTTACCATCATACCGAACAATTGCCATATTGATGTACCATCATACCGAACAATTGCCATATTAATGTACCATCATACCGAACAATTGCCATATTAATGTACCATCATACCGAACAATTGCCATATTAATGTACCATCATACCGAACAATTGCTATATTGATGTACCATCATACCGAACAATTACCATATTGATGTACCATCATACCGAACAATTGCCATATTAATGTACCATCATACCGAACAATTGCCATATTAATGTACCATCATACCGAACAATTACCATATTAATGTACCATCATACTGAACAATTACCATATTAATTTACCATCATACTGAACAATTACCATATTAATGTACCATCATACCGAACAATTGCTATATTGATGTACCATCATACCGAACAATTACCATATTGATGTACCATCATACCGAACAATTGCCATATTAATGTACCATCATACCGAACAATTGCCATATTAATGTACCATCATACCGAACAATTACCATATTAATGTACCATCATACTGAACAATTGCCATATTAATGTACCATCATACTGAACAATTACCATATTAATGTACCATCATACTGAACAATTGCTATATTGATGTACCATCATACCGAACAATTACCATATTAATTTACCATCATACCGAACAATTGCCATATTAATGTACCATCATACCGAACAATTGCTATATTGATGTACCATCATACCGAACAATTGCCATATTAATGTACCATCATACCGAACAATTGCTATATTGATGTACCATCATACCGAACAATTACCATATTAATTTACCATCATACTGAACAATTGCCATATTGATGTACCATCATACTGAACAATTACCATATTTTGTCTGTTTTTCATCACAAAACGCCACAGAAAACATGTCTTTTCTTTCACCATGGTAATGAGTTGCCATCCGTTTTACCAAATAGTAATTTTAATAAAAGTTGAGTCCAGAATATTTAACATTTATCCAATAAAAATGATGTTTTTTATTTAGATGTTACATTAATGAAAATAAATGTACATCCACATCCCATCAAGCTCAAGCTACCGTCAAATGTGCATTTCTCTGAGATAAAACATGTAATAATCTTATTAATATTACATGTGCGATGTACCAAATCGGTTGCTCTCGAATGTTAGTCTGGAGACCTGAAATATTCATTCACGAGTGCGTTTCCCTCTGTGTGCCTCAGGAAATGAGGCCTTTCCTGTCAGAGGAAGAGAGTTTTACAGGCTCAGACAGGAACGGGTGTAGAGGGGAACATGGACGTCTGAACCGTCAAACGCTGCGTCTCCGTTCATCACGTTCTGCCCTAATTAATGATCATCTACTAATAATACGTTTTGTGACGGAGGAAAGCATGTTTTCAGATCACATTTACGTTCACTCTGAGTGCATGTCCTTTTTTATTCTCTTTATTGCTTGAACAGAAGAGAGGGGAAAAAACAAGAAAAGCCAACAACTACTATCGTCATTGCTATAACATACTGTAATACAACAACAACACTCCAGAGTCCTTCAGGCTCTCATTTCAGTCATCGTGATGATGTCATCGCTCGTGTTTTCATACGTAAATGATGCGGAGGACGGACACAGCACAGATTTGCGGCTTTTAGTCTTTTCCATCTATAATCTGACATATTTCAGACAGTGAAACTGGATATGCAACAAATGTAGGTCAGAACATGGAAAGCGTTTTTGTTTTTAGCATTCATTAAAAGACCACAGGAATGTGTATTAACAAAGCAAGAAGTCTTTTAATTTCATGCTGACGCTTATATAAACAACTTCATAACATGCACAGACACAAGACAGGGATAGAGGCGGGCGTCACTGCTGCTCACAATAGACACCGTTCACACGCTCAACAATAACACACTGTTCTGACTGCGTAGTTTACACACACACAGTCTATTATACCACCTAATATACAACAGCAGCTGCAGACACACACACGTCCATGAGTCATGTGTCAACATATGCAAACAAACGCACGGTCATGTGTTGCAATACATGCACGCACTCCTTTTTCTACCGTAGATTTTTACATAATTTTCTGAAAAAACACTTTATAATGCATTTTTAAAAGTATTTAGTAATTATGCCTTGTAATGCACATTACAATGCATTGTATGTTCTTATGAATAAATGTAACCACAGGTATAATATTTATATTTACATATTTAGAAAGTGTAATGCATTAAAAATATGACAAACAACTAGAGCCCGACCGATAAAGGATTTTGAAGGCCGATACCGATACAAAAAATCCGATATATCGGCCGATATTTTATTTATTTATTTGAAACTGGACATGATAGTCACTGAGTTTGAGTTCAGAGAACTGATGGGGATGTTCTTTTAATTGTTATTCAAGCAATGTATGTCTCGTGACCAACTCAACGAGTGTTGCCAACAGGAACGGTGTATAGCGCCCTCTGGTGGACAAACTATACAACTCCAACACTCATGACATGGTTCAAGCGTGATTCGTCCGTTTTTATTTTATTTTTGAAATATTCATTTATCGGTCATTATAACTGCCGATACAGATAGTTTGGAAAATGCCTAATATCGGCCGATAATATCGGCATGCCGATATATCGGTCTGGCTCTACAAACAACCAATTTTAGAATTGCATTTTAACTTTGGTTAGTTACAATTATTTATGAATATGCCTTGCATTGATATATATAATGCATTATACATTATAGGCTTCATCAAGTTAATGTAAGTGCGCTCAAAACTCGAGGCGTCTCAAATCAAAAGGGTCTCCAACATTTTCCCGTTCGGGTTTGCTAACGAATTAGTGCGTTTATGCAGAAACACGTATTCCACCATATTTGGAGCAAACATGTCCTGACTTCTGTTCGGCTAAAACAAAGGTGTGTTTACAGCCACAACACTCCTCTAATGAGTGTTTTCTCATCCAGACTTAAAAGCCATCTCAGAGAAAACGTCCCACACACACATTTCACTTCATTGTTTTTGACCCACGATGGCTGAACGCTTACCTGCGTGTGTTCTGCGTCCACAGGACCGAACAGGAATATGCTACCAATCCATCAGTTGCTCATCTGACCTGAAAGAAAACAGCAGGCAGTGATTAGCCACAGCCGCAGTGCAACAAACGCACATTTTCAAAATAGTTTCAGAGTAACAAAGAATGAACGACCAAATTCATACACCATATTAAACGTTTACCATACAACACCATCCTACTGAATGATTACCATATTCATACGCCATCATATTAAACGTTTACCATATTCATATACCATCATTATGATAGTATATGAATATGGTAATCATTCATTATGAACGTTTACCATATTCATAAACTATCATAATAAACGTTTACCATATTCATATACTATCATACAGAACGATTACCGTATTCATATACTCTCATAATGAATGATTACCATATTCATACAACACCATCCTAATGAATGATTACCATATTCATACTATCATAATTAACGTTTACCATATTCAAATACAATCATAATTAATGATTACCATATTCATTTACCATCATACAGAATATATCCTTTAGTATGTGTATTCATATAATAAAATAATATATACGCTTTGCACTGTACGCAGCACATTAACAATAAAGTTTAATTTCACAAATATTTAAAAGACTGAGTTCAAATATTACATGTCTACTGTCTATATATTATGTTTGAACTAACTGTTTGTACCTTAATGTTATTGTGAAGCGTCACTGAACTTGGGAAATGCGCTATATAAATTAAACATATTATTAATCTAATATTTGAACTCAGTCTTTTAGAAATCTCTGAATATTCTGAAAGCACAAACAAACGTTGATTAAAATAGTCATATTTGAATTTTTGTTTGTTTTGAATGGATTAAATGTTTATCTCACTTCCACAATCTCGGATGGACTTTTTTGCAATGCATTATGGGGTTAAGTCAAGAGAACCTTTAAATGTTGCCCAAGTCAACAAGCAGGCAAAATCATCATTATGAAACAGTGTGTGATTTATTAATCTAATAAACAATGAGGCAGCAGACACTCTTAGAAGAAATGGTTCTATTTAGAACCAGAAATGGTTCCATCCCCCGCTTCATATATGGAACTCCAAAATGGTTCTATATAGAACCTTTTTTTTTTTTTTTGGTAAAAGGTTCCATTGGCCAAGTATGGAACCCCAGAGTTCTATATAAAACCTTTTTTTTTGGTAAAAGGTTCTATTGGCCAAGTATGGAACCCCAGAGTTCTATATAAAACCTTTTTTTTGGTAAAAGGTTCTATTGGCCAAGTATGGAACCCCAGAGTTCTATATAGAACCTTTTTTTTTGGTAAAAGGTTCTATTGGCCAAGTATGGAACCCCAGAGTTCTATATAAAACCTTTTTTTTTGGTAAAAGGTTCTATTGGCCAAGTATGGAACCCCAGAGTTCTATATAGAACCTTTTTTTTGGTAAAAGGTTCTATTGGCCAAGTATGGAACCCCAGAGTTCTATATAGAACCTTTTTTTTTGGTAAAAGGTTCTATTGGCCAAGTATGGAACCCCAGAGTTCTATATAAAACCTTTTTTTTTGTAAAAGGTTCTATTGGCCAAGTATGGAACCCCAGAGTTCTATATAGAACCTTTTTTTTGGTAAAAGGTTCTATTGGCCAAGTATGGAACCCCAGAGTTCTATATAGAACCTTTTTTTTGGTAAAAGGTTCTATTGGCCAAGTATGGAACCCCAGGGTTCTATATAGAACCTTTTTTTTTTTGTAAAAGGTTCTATTGGCCAAGTATGGAACCCCAGGGTTCTATATAGAACCCAGAGGAACCCTTTTTGTAAGAGTGTATAGAACCTTTTAGGGGTTCCAAATACGTAGCGCTGATAGAACCTTTTAAGGTTATATACAGAACCTTTTCTTCTAAGAGTGGATCGTAACCATAAACGGATCCAAACAAACACCGCGTCCATCAGACGAGACTCGCGGCTCAATTCATCCGAGCGAGAGCGGGAGTTCGGACAGAAGAGCGCAGGAATGCCAGACTCTCTCTCTGGAGGTTATTATTTTTAGAGTTTCTTGTGTTTAAGGACTAAACCACACATCTCACGCCGTTCCTCGGACTAATGCTCTTATCACACGGGCCACATCACAGACGGATGCAACTCATGCACAAGCAGATCATGTACAGGCAGAGGGTCATTACCACTAAATAAACTCTATCAGGCTTACACAAGACCCTCCATTGTACATAAATCCATGAATAAATGTGTTAAATGTCAATGTTATATGCACTGCATTGCAAACGATGTCACTGGGGCTGTACCTCTTGAAAAGATATGCTTTTGTACCTAAAGGGTGCTTAATGGTACACCTAAAATTAGACCCACAATTATGCATAATTCCACGATAAATGGCAATTATGTCATGCACACAGTGGCTATACGTTCACATGCAACCAAACAATCCGTTAGTAATGGCTGACGGCTGAATCCTTCATGTAAACACCTTAACGATCGGATGGAAAGTGCTGGTTTATTCCTTTTCTAATCCGATCGTGAGAACAAGAACACTTGATTGTATTTAAAACGCAAACTGAAAGGACTGCGCATGTGCACTGATGTTGAAATAGCATAGAGCTGTTCTTCCTGTTGAATAAAGTGTCATAAACGAGTGTCTTGTCATTCTATAATGCTTTTTTTGCTCAAATCATATGAGCCACATCTCAGACTGATGCAACAGCGTCTCATTCACATTAGATAATGTACAGGCAAACGGTCATTACCACAAAATAAACTCCGTCAGGGTGACACAAGTAATTCCATGAATAAATAATTATGTTAAGTCAATGTTTATGTGCTTAAATACACAGTGTGTGACTAAAGGCATCCCGTATGAAACAGCTTGTCACAACTTCCAATCATTCCTGCATCTATCCCTCCAAAAGAGAGCAGTGTGTGTGTAGATGATGCATTAGAGCATAATGGGAAGGAAAAGTCTCTCTCTCTCATTCCAGATCTTTTCAACACCTCCAGCCATTCATCACATGCTCCTCTGAGCCTGAAGCAAGAATAAGGCGGAGAAAAAAAAAAATCAATGGAGTCAGAACTGCAAACAGGCCATAAAGACACCAGGAGGAAGGAACCAGCTGCAGTGGAATTGATTTCTTTAAGTAGAATAACACCTCACACACACACACACACACACACACCGTTCATATGCTGCTGCTAAGAGACTTCTGAAAAGATCTTCCAGTTCACAGAACTCAACAGAGAATGAGTTATTAATGAAATCATCCGCTGGTGACGGGCCGATATTAAGCTCGTTTGAGTTTTGGATGTTTAATTGAATTTAAACATGCTGAGATTGCAGTGTGTAAATGGATAATTTAATGATGCCGATTGGTTGGATGAGTCACATTGGAAGCCACTTCAATACAACAGCCAATACGAGAGATGACCGATATAAACATTTTGGACGATATCGATAACTCTTTATATTTGAAAGCCGATAACCGATATATTGGCCGATAAACCTAAATCTAAATTTTTATATAATTTTTGAGTGCCTGTATAATTTTTTAAGATATTCATACACCATCATATTAAACATTTACCAAATACTATCATACAGAAAGATTACCGTATTCATATAGTATCATAATGAACGTTTACCATATTATTCATACAACACCATCCTATTGAATGATTACCATATTCATATACTCTCATAATGAAATTACCATATTCATACTATCATAATTAACATTAACCATATTCATATACCATCATATTAAACGTTTACCACATTCAAATACAATCATAATTAATGACTACCATATTAATTTACCATCATACAGAATATATCCTTTAGTATGTGTATTCATATAATATAATAATATATACGCTTTGCACTGTACGCAGCACATTAACAATAAAGTATAAATTCACAAATATTTAAAAGACTGCTGCATATATTGGCCGATAAACCTAAATCCAAATTTTTATATAATTTTTTTGAGTGCCTGATTACAAAAACAAAAGTCTCATGTACCAATAACACAATTATAATGACGTTCTCAAATGTAGCCGATAACTCCTAGAAATACAATATATAGACCATTTCACAAGATGTAAACAACACTGGTCCAGAAGCACTTCCTGTTTCAGTTTGTAACTGTTTTCTTTATATTTCACATGTAAAGAAAACATATTAAAGATGTTTGTTTAACGTTTTGATTCAGTTTTATATGTTCTGTTGGTTGTATTTTATCCCAGCTTTTATGTAGTGTTAAAAAACTGAAACAGGAAGTGCTTCTGGACCAGTGTTGTTTACATCTTGTGAAATGGTCTATATACACACACATGCATGTATATTTAAGAAAAATATATATTATTTATATTTATATATAATATAAATTATATATAAATCTATATACATAAAAATATTTCATATAAAATAAGTGCACCCACATATATTATGCAAACACAAACTTTTATTTTGGATGCGATTAATCCCGATTAATCGCTTGACAGCCCAATTTTAACCCAGGAATTCAGCGTATCGACCGCAAATCCACTTTCTCTGCTGGAGTCGTTGTTTCTGTGAATTTCAGCGATCCGCCTGCTTCTCTGTTCTGTAGCTTTCGGCTGTCGGTAAAAATACACCCTTAGATTTCATGCCAAACCTATTTATACAGTCGATCTCAAAGCTCTTTCCCATTTTAGATGCGTTTTGTGTGTTTTTCACTGCATTCAAGCTGAAAACGAGATGTCTTTTTGCATCTCAGTGTGTGTGTGTGTGTAACCGCAGTCACAAAACAAACCGGCCACGCAAACAGCATCTCGCAGGACTCTTAAAGCTCACGGTTGGCTTTAGACGTCAGCGTACGTCTGTTCAACACGCTTAATAAGCAGATCACTCAGCAATTCTGTGAACTGATTACATATACTGCAAAAATCTCCAAGTCATTTCAGATAAGCTAAATATGTGCTGGCAGACGAAGGCAAAACGCATTTAGTTTGGCGCAATAGATAATAAACCAGAGCAAATTCCCTTTGAAGACATTTTTCTGTTTTTAAATGAGAGACGAAAGG